TACTTCCAAAGAATATACTACCTTTCACATTCGATACGATTTCTATAAATATAAAGTTTTATTTTTTGGATTAATAAATAGTTTTGTAACTTATTAATAATATATAAATAATATTCTATTCAATTATTTAAATAATTTTTATACTATCTATCTCAATAATATACTAATATACTCTAAAAACGAAGACGAATACAAAGAACACATCAAATATATTCTTAAACAATTTGAATCCGTTAGATTATAAACAGATTTCAAGAAATGTAAATTCAATATTAAATATATTAAATATTTAGGTTTTATTATTTCCATCAATAAAGTATAAATCGATTTAAAGAAAATCAAAATAATTATTATTTGAATTTATTTTATTATTATAAAAAGTATTTAATTATTTTTAGGTTTTTGTAATTTTTATTATTGATTTATTAAAGATTACAGTATAATAGCAAAATCTTTTTATAAACTTATAAAAATAAATATTAAACTTTATTTCAATAAAATCTATTAAAATATATTTGATATACTTAAAAATAGATTTATCTTCACTCTTTTTTTATAATATTATAATTATATATTATTCTGTATACTGGAAATTAATATATTTGATAATATAATTATTAATATATTCTTTTAGAAGTATAATAATAAATAATTATTAGTTATCTATTTTTCAAAAATAATAATTATTGTTGAGTTAAACTATAAAATTTATAATAAAGAAATACTTGTAATTATTAAATCTTTAAATCATTAGAAAATTGAATTTATTAGATCCCTATATTAAATTAAGGTATATACCGATTATAAAGCTTTTGAGTATTTTATATTTATTAAATAACTAAATATTTGATAAGTATACTAAATAGAATTATTTGTTAATTATAATTTTATTATTATATATTATACTAAAAAGAATAATCTATTTATAAATATACTTACCCACTGCATTAATAAACTGGATTAATAGAATAATATTAAAAAAAAGAATTGATTATAATAGTTTATAAAAAATGATTAAATAGATATTAGGATTATATATAAATTTTTCCAATAAAAATCAGATATTATTGTAAATCTCGATATAAGCGTAATATTCTTACTTTTCGATATAATTAATTATATTATTGAAATAAATAGATTTTATTCGAGTTTAGAAGTTTTGTGTAATTATACAATCAAATTATATAAGTATTTTATTTTTATAAAAAGATTATTACTTTATAATGATTATCTATATATTCCGAATATTAACAATTTGTGAATTTATTTGATTTACAAAGCTTATAATTTAATTTTTACTATATATCCTGATATAAAGAAGATCTATATTCTTTTAACTAAATAATATTATTAAAAGAATATGATTTTTATAATTGATTAATATATATAAAATTATCACAAATATAAGTGTAATTTCATTTCTAGAAATTGTATCCCTGATTTATTTTATCTGCTTTCTATTCCTACAAGAATATAATAATATATTATTATAAACTATTACAATTTTAATAAAAATAAATACAATTATAATAACATATTCGTTATTATTAACCAATTAATCAAATAAACTATTTTGATACTCTATTATAAGTCAATCGATTCAAGAGATTAGGTCTGCTTATATCTATATTATATATATAGATATTATAGTACCCCAAAGTCTATAATTTCTAATTACAATTCTTAATTTATATCAACCTTTTAATAAGAATTTAATAATATTTTAGGAATATAAGTTAAGCAATTAATTATTCACCACCCACAAATTGATAATTAGATTGAGATTTATAATTAATATCTTCAATAATACTTACAATTCTTTATAAATTATTATCAAAATAATTAATCTAAATTTCTATTAATAATAAATTATACTCAGTTTATACTTCCTTATAAATTATTAGATAACTAATCCCTATACGAAACTTTATATAGCCATCTACCCCGTAATCCCTAGAATTGAAAACTCGATTCCATTATATCTATCAATAATTTGAATATAACTAATACTAAAGAGTATACTAAACGTAATAAACTAATATTCGATTAAACAAAAGAAAATATCTTGTGTGTGTAAGAAAAGATATTTCGATTAGCCAATTTGTATTACTACTCAGTTAATTTCAATATAGGAGATTATATATAGCTTAATATAAGAGATTTTCTAATATAATAACCTTTGAAAAAACTAAATTACCCAATCTAGAATAGATTTAAGATTATTAATTGAGCTAAAGATTCCTTCTAATTGGATTTATTATTTATTATAAAAGTTCACCTTATATTTCCACCTAGCAAACTTCGTAAAACAATAAACAATCTACTTCCTAAACAAATTATTAAATCACTACCTTTAATAAATATTATTAGTAATATTGAATAAGAAATAGAACATATTCTAATTATCAAGAAAGTATATCGATAGTTCAAATATAAAGTATTGTAATTAAATGCTAATAACAATCTTATCTAGTATTCCACTTCTAATCTCAAAACTGCTTTGTATTTCCTTTGCGATTTCTATTTACGAAATCCCTTTTTATTAGAACTTTTTGTATATCTATTTGAATAAATTTGTTTTTATAAAAGTAGAAAGGATGATTATGATTTTATAGATAATAATTAATATATAAATAAAGAAGATTGAAAGAATTTCTTTTATATATTAAAGTAATAAAGAAATCATAATTTTATAAATAATAAAAAAGTGATTGGATAAAGACTAAATTGCTAAAATAATATAACAAAGAATATCTTTCCTCTATTTTAATAGTTTTAAAGTAAGTTAAAAAGGAAATCTCTGTGAGCATTAACAATTATAGTTAAACAAAACACAAAAGCAAAGACTAAATAATTTAAATTAAAATATTAGTTAAGTTTTTAGTTAATAGCAATAATAAGAATATATAGAATAATTATAAGCTGAAAGACAAAACAACTTTTAGTTGTAATATATATAATAATAAGATTAAGCTTATACTTAATTGCTTATAATTGTTTATGAATTATTGAAAGCTTTACTTTCATTTATATTATAGCAAGTTAATATTATTGTTTCAATTTATTTTTTTATTTTATAGCTTTGGTTATATAATGCTCTACATTTTTCTGAATAAGGATAATAGAAAGTATTTTTTTCGAAATATAATTCCTTAATGCCTTTTACAAATTAAATTATTAAAAAAGAATTAATTTTACTAAAAACTAATAAAGTTATAATTTATTTTTACTATATTGCTATATTCAGTAATAGCTGCTTGGTATTAAAGAAATATCTTATAAATTTTTCTAAAAAATAAGTACTTATATTTATGCTTGTTAGTAAAATAAAATAAACAGCGAGCTTGATTAGATAATTAATTAGGAATTTGATAATATACACTATCTTCTTTGTTAAAAATACAACTATATATACAGTCTGTATAAATCCAATTGTTTTTCTAAATATATTATTCTTATTGTAACATTGTTTTTTTTAATAATCTTTTACTTAAAAATCCTAGTTTATCGATATCAATAAAACTAATACTTTTACAATAAAATATATCGAAATTGTAATTAAATTGATTTTGATATAAAATCTTTATAATCTTCTTTTCAATAATCTTTTGCCTATCATTTTTGATATTATTAAAATGATACACCACTATAATCAATTTGTTAGTAAATTTCCTTTTATAATTGTTAACACAATCAATTAAAGAATTATATTCTTTTTCCGAATTTTACTTAGGAATATAATGAAATGAATATATCTAATAAACAAATCAAAAATCGATTTTACTCTCAAGAATATTATTCTTGATAACTATAATTGTATTTATTAAATAAATTGATTATATACTAAAAACAAATAAATAAAAAACCTTACTTATATTTCTTGTTAAAATTATAGTCATTCCCACAATAAAGCTTTTTCTCCTCAAACTCCTTCCCCTCAACAAGCTATTTACCTCATATAACAAAAGAAATAGCTACTCTCTTCTTTGCAAATTAAATAAAAGAATAAATCAATAAAGCAAATACAGAAAAAATTATAAACAATTTATTATTATATATATATTTTTCCATTACTGAATCTACACCAGTAACAACTTATTCTTACTACTATATCTTCTTCTTAAAGTCAAAGACATATTAACTAATAGATATAAGAAGATTAATTAATTAAAAAAATTTGAAAAAGAAAGAGGATTTGATTGATTTATATACTTTAAAAGATTCGATTAATTACTAGATTACAAAATGATTTTCTTTATTTTGTATATATCTTCTTATTACAAAAAAGAAAAATCTATATATACATTTGTTTATTATATTATTTTAATTAAATAATAATAATACTATTTTGAGATCGCCGATTTAATAACTAAAATAAATAATTATAAAGCTTAAGGGTAAGCTTTTTCGAAGAAGGGGGTAGTATTACAGATCGGTATTCAATCACAATTGTAATTACTTATATATATATATATATATATATATAATTATATATATATAGTTGATATATAGATACACTCGACAAGCACTTTGCTTCTGATTCTGTAGTTGTAGATTCTAAGGACAAATTGTACCCTGCTCTCGCAGTTCTTCTAAGGCAAGATGTTATACAAACTATATACTATAAACTATATACTACAAACTATATACTACAAACTATATACTACAAACTATATACTACAAACTATATACTACAAACTATATACTACAAACCGTATACTACAAACCGTACACTATAAACCATATACGTAAATTCAAATCATAAAATTCAAAATTTAAATCATAAAAATAAATTAAAAATAATATAAAAAATAAATTAAATTAAAGTAGAGAGTAAAATAAAATAAAGTATACAAGTGATCGAATAAACCGACAAATCAAGAGAAGAAATAAAGTAATCATAAAAGAAAGATACATAATATAACATAACATAGATAGTCTACCTAGTAGTCTACCTAGTATATTATATCGTATCCCTCCCATCTTATTCCCATCAATCTTCATCTTGCTCATCTTGCTCATCTTGCTCATCTTGCTCATCTTGCTCATCTTGCTCATCTTGCTTATCTTGCTCATCACCCATCATCTATCCACCCACATTAATATATCTACCATAATACTTTATAATAATTGAACGCCTTTATATGCAATTCATTTCCATCCATTCATCCATCTATCCATCCATTCATTATTTTCAAACCGATATGAATCTACATCAAAAATGCCATTTCATGTCATACCATGCAATATATACAATCAATGCATCTCATTCCATTCCCCTCCTCCTCTCACCCCACTCAAAAGGCCATTTGACATATTTACATGCCTTGCCAATCTTCAAAGTTCAAACTAATTCATCTTCTTTTCCACACCACTATAAACTCTATCATCCTCTCCTTCCGCCTCCAAAACCTGTTTCTCCATCTCCGCAACTTGTCTCTCCCATTCCTTTTGTCCCATCTTACTCTCTCTTCTGAAAAGTTCCTCATTTGGTTTTCTGTAACTACCTCCCAATCTATCCCAAAGTGTGGTATATTGACCATAATTATAATTGAAGTACAGATGATGCATCGTGTGACAAGCGGCTCCATTCAAAATTGGACTATTGGCCACATATTCTCCATCATGAATAAACACTGTCCAGACTTGTACGAAGAAGAAGAGACCGAGGTATGCGAATTTCTGAAGTGGGAAGATAAAGGGAAAGACGTGGTAAGGAAGAGATTGCATCCAGCCATCTACCGGATGAAAAGCAATTGAAGCGTAAGGAGTTGGCATAATCCATTTGTGATGTGGTTTATGAAGTGTCTTGTATACGGAAGGATGATGGAGACCGCGGTGGATGAAATAGACGAAACAATCTGTGAAGAGGAGGAAAAGTGGAAATTGGAACCAATTGTACCACGTACCCGGTCCTTCAGAGGTAAGATCGTATAGTTTTGAATAGCCCCTAACTTCTGCGAGGAAGAAGGGAGTGGTGAGAATGGACATTAAGGGCATCGAGTTACATGCTTGAGAGATTTCCATGCGGATTTGATTTTTGAGGAATTTGGGATGTTGAAAGGTAGTTTTGTCAAAGACGAATAGGTACGAGAGAGTAGAGATTGTAAAGTAAATTGCTGCACCTGCGATCCTGTATTTGAATTAAAATTAGTATTTGCTCATAACCTTGACATCTTGCATCGCATTGGAAGTGAATAAACATACCAAGTAATCAGGAACAACGAGAAAGCTTGTCGGAAAATATTATCTCTATCCCATTGACTGGTATACGCCGCGTCTGTCGGTTCAAACTGGAGGAAAGAATTCGAAGGATGATATTGCCATGTTGAAGCCGTTTTCGGATCGAGTATTGTGCCATTAATTTGTTCTCCAATGGCATTCAAGAGTATAGGTTTTGCGGGTAAGAGAGCGGAATAGAAATGATCGAAGAAGTATTTGTCGGTGACTTCTAATGCAATATCCATGGTTTCGGAATGTCTGCAATGCAGAGATCTTTTTGTGAGAGACAATTATCGATTAGAGTAGAAGGAGAAGTATATCGACTTCTTGAAGGTCTTTGAAGATGTGGAAAATGTAGGGAAAAAGGAAGCCAAATGAATGGGTTCTATATTTCCTTTCCGTTCCTTTCCTTCCCTTGTACCTTTCTGTTGAGTGAATTGGGATTGTTTTGTAATCACCTAGGTAGGTAGATTACACCAGGATTGAAAGGATCGAAATGTAAAAGAAAGACTTGGTGAATGTATCACCAGCGAGATATCAAAGTTATTAAAGAGCTAGAGCAAGAGGGAAAAGGAAAGAAAAAGGAGAGTGGCGGTATGTTTTATTAAATTGATTTTGAAAGTTGATGCGACAATCGGAAGTTTTGGAGAAGAAATGAGGATGGGATATGTATGTATGTACTGTGATATCTACTAGGTATAGATATACCATACTAGGTAGGTATGGTAATAGTCGGGTAGGTATATATCAACTTTTTCTCTAATCGGGAGACCCTCTTTTCTTTCTTCTCTATGTCGACTTTAGCTAGTTAGTAGGTAATTCCTGGAAATACGATGGATAAAATATAAGATATAAAATATAAAATTAATCCGATCCGATGTGATTATTCCAGAGATTCGGGAATGTGGATTTTAGGATTTTAAGATTTTATTACAATTGACCAATAGAATTGCTTCTAGGAAATACCAATTGGAACTAAAATCAGATCTCCCTCCCTCTCTCCTTTCTATCTAGATAATAAGGGGTTTAAAAAAAGAAAAGAAATAAGAAACAAGAAACCTCAACTAAAATCCCATGAAGAAGTTAAGATATCTACTAGGTATCTATCTACAAATATCTACCAGGTACTTAGATATTCATTCATCAACAATTCAAACTCCGCACGAATCAAAAGACATTCTCGATATTCGATCTGATAAAATTAGCTCCCTTTCCTTTCTCAATCTTAACCTTGTCATCACACACTCTCTCACGGTCTCCCTCTCACTCTAACAGTAAATCTTCTCCATAAAACCCAGAATCTCTTACGAGAATCTTTCGTTGGTGGGTTGTGCGATTGTCATTCGAGTCTTGTCTTCCAAGGTTGGGTAACTTAAGTTAGATTATCACCAGCAAGTTGCAACAGCTCATTCAGATCCCGCGTTCCTTGTAGCTGGGACGCAATTACTGCAAAGTAAGTACGTAGATACCTACCTAGATCGTACAACGGATGTTCGTTTCCTCAAATCTAGACAAAGGGGCCAGCCATGAGCCAGTCAGCCAGTCAGCCAGTCAACCAATCAGCTATACAAAAGATTCATCATGATGTGATTATCGTTAATTATCATAAGTTCCGATCTTTCCATCTTTCCATCTTTCCATCTTTCCATCTTTCCATCTTTCCATCTTTCCATCTTTCCATCTTTCCATCTTTCCATCTTTCCATCTTTCCATCTTTCCATCTTTCCATCTTTCCATCTTTCCATCTTTCCATCTTTCCATCTTTCCATCTTTCCATCTTTCCATCTTTCCATCATCATATCCCATCATCCATCATATCCCATCATCCTAGCCAACCCAAACCTTCCACACCATCCCCCACCAAAAATACGAACAAGAACGGCATCTTTGTTTCCGAAGCCTATAAATCAGCTCACCCATTCTCATTCACACTTCAGAGAGATCTACCTACCTCTACCAGGTATTTACCAGGTACCTGTACCAGGTGTCTACTCGTACCTCTACCAGGTATCTACATATTACCCAGATAAAACCCAACCCATCCGGATATTTCCTACCAAAACCCATCTCATTGGTGCATCTCATTGGTGCATCGATATGTATACGGAGTATTGATGCAGCTTATCTCCATCTGTACTGTATGCGATTGTACCTGCTTTTGGAGACCAGGAGTGATATGAGTCTGACAAAGTTGGGGATTTTTCTTGGTGGATGAAGGAAGCCTGAAGGATGTATTGGGTAGAGTAGAGTAGAGTATTGGATTAGTGGAATGGATGGATGGATGGATGGATGAGATCTAATCTTATCTCTGGGTTGTTGGGTTATCGGTATGTTACTCTACTTGGTAGATCTAGTTATTTATTTATGTATCGTGAGTTTTGGTAATTGTGGTTATGAGATGTGATGAGCTGGGATGATATAAATCAAGATGAGATGAAGAGAAGAATCTTGATTGGCTTTAAGGATACTTTTGTGGTTGTTGGAGTAGGTACTAGACTACGTAGACAGGTACGATTATTCTGATCGATTGGAGTATCAAATCATGTCGTCGCTGTTGTTTGATATCTCTTGGGTTAATAGTTCCTATATTTCAATTCAAGCAAGTAACTTTAAGAGACAATAGTTATTTCTTGTGTTGAGTACCTGATCTTAGATGAAGAGAAAAGAATCCCACACTACCAATCATCGATATCATATTTTTACTCTCACACATTTCAATCTTTCCACCTTGTCTCACATCTGGGGATAGCTTCATGTAGAGCAGCCGAAGACTTCGACTTTTCAGACATATTATATTTATCTTGACTTTGGCACTCATTGGTACTTGAAAATAATAAAAATCCACCTAGAGTTCTATTCCAAAGCAAAGAAAGAGAGCCCTTTTAACGGATATCAAAAATACCTCCTGTTAGTTATAGAAATCTACGCCGATCTGTCATAATTCTGTTTCTTCCATCAAACTTCTAGAAACACCACACCTTCCTTTTCTATACCCCTTAAAATCAAGGCATCCAAAACTCAAATCCCGAACCCCTATTCCTTACCCACTCGACCGAGTAAAGTTGCCACTCACCCATTCTTTCCCCACCTTCATCACCGTTCCCGTAACCGGCATTTTCGGTTAAGAAATTGATCCGGGGCTGAATGCTTTTATGGCGCAAAATGATATCCCGTCCGAAAGGTTACACACATATCTCCTTCGTCTCTCCACCCATGTTTTTCTTACCGATGATTGATATAATTCCGAGTGAATGGCTCGAGAATGGGTAAGATATGCTAAGTGCGGGAAGCACTAAATATGATATTGATGTACAAAATAGTCTGAAGCGTATTTTTAAATCCAGGGTGGATGAGGTCTTCCTCAATAAGCACCACATGCGAAATCATCACCTTTGGTTTAAACTTTGAAAAGCTTACGTGGAACGATTTCTTACCATGATGTATTCGTGCGCGCTTGTTGAAAAAGCTTGAGAACGAAGTGGTAATTTGAGTCGACAGTAGTAACAGTGCCAGCGATTCCTTAGTATAGTTATTAGTCTCAAAGTCAATTTAATGGATTTTCTCTAGAACGTGGCTGTAGACGATGTTACCTAGCATCATCTCTAGCCTATCCGTGATCAGAAGTACAAGTTTGTGACGAAACGGGCAGCATCTTCCTCTCTGCATATCCCGTACCTACAGTGGCGTCTTGATGATTTCAAGGATGGTTTTATGCCTCATTGAGAATAACTTGTGAAAGCTAATGCCCGTCTCAGCCCGTCCATGCATACATGGGGGGGAGATAATCAATCAATCTGCCTAGTACTTTAGTAAATAACATGCAAGCAATTGAAGCCTACTTTGTTCGTACTTATGGTGCGTCTGCTGGTGATAGGAAGGGTATTGGTTGCATATGGCCAGCTGTGATACTGCAGAGGAATAACTGGTTCACCAATGAGGTTATTCATAACGAATTCGTATGAACTTGACTCTTCAGAACTGGGGATTATCGATGTTGATAGGGCTTTTATATTTTTGTTGATGAAAAATTGGATATCTAATAAGTGTATCGACTGGTGAGTATTAGATATTGTCCGGCTCCGTTCGATATGAACCATTCGGCAATGAAGAAAGGCATATTAATTTCGATGATGAATCGAGTGTTTAACAAGATGGACTTTCTCTGTACCTGAACAGTGAACAGTGTATAGTACTTATTAAAATGATCGATGGGAAGAATAACGTTGAACTCCGAGTAGGTAATTCTGCCCCTTCATTGTTATTTCTGCAGAGTACTGAGTAGAAACCAGTCTTGGATTATTTTTAATCATTCTACCCACGGAGTACTACAGCAAGTACCCTCCTACCTACCTGGGTATCTCTTCGCTTATTTTCGGGAGGCGCATGCTTTTTTTCCAAGTCTCCACTGTCTTCCCTAGTCATAATCCTTGGATTCACATTTCGCCAGGATTACATGACGGACTAAACAAGGATCAGCAAATGTGAGACAAGGTTTAAATTGTGGCAACTGTGGGTTAGGTGAGTTTGTGTTTGTGATCACATGACATGCGCCTTTTCCATCTCGTCAAGTGCTCTGAGCGTTTTCATTCGTTTGCGTGATGAGTCTAAACGATATTGGCACGGGTGGTGGTGGTATCAAGAGAGAGAGGAAGAGGAGGGGAAGAGAAGAGAAGAGAGAGGAAAGATAGAGTAGAAAAGCTGGACTTTCTTTACCTCCAGCCCTGACTAATAAAGTGATGAATTCAGTCTTGGATATACTAGTCATTGCCATTGCCATTGCTATTGCCATTGCTGTCTCTTTCTCCGTTTTGACATTGACTTGACTTCTCTATCAAAAAAATCCCCAAATCCTACATGTAACACCATTTTGTCTGTGATTCATACTCTAACGTGTGTGGATTGGATATTACTAGAAGATCCAGTTTGCTTTGCTTGCTTGCTCGCTTGCTTTGCTTTGATCTGATCTGATCCTCCTTTTTTCTTCATCTCCTTCTTTTAGTTCTAATCTAATACGGAGTAAAAGACTACATATCTGCCTACCCGTGGACCTACTTTATTAGTAATATCTATCTTCTCTTCTAGCCCTTTCACTCTACTTTCTCCCACTCCTACGGCTACAGAATCTGAAGTTGGAACCAACCGAAAAGATTCATTCACCTCTTTTTCGACCTCCACTTCTTTCCTATTTAGTACATATCATACATATTACCTACCATACATACCATACCATACAATCCATCCACCACTACCACCACCACCACCACACCATCTATCCATCCATCCATCCATCCATCCATCCCCCTCCCACACAAACCTTACTACTCCCATCTATCGAGCCGTCTCACATCTCACATCTCACATCTCACTCCATCCAACCTCCAACCTCCAACCTCCAACCTCAATTAGTAAAATCCACATCCACATCCACATCCACACCCACCCACACCTTCACCCACTTCAACATCAACAACATCATCCATCATATTACTTTTCTCATCCGAACATCATCAACCTGGATCAATCAATCAATAACCTCACTTAATTCAATCATTATCAATTTGTCCCTCCCATAACCAATTTTATTTATTTTCGAATTGCCGAATGCGATTAATAGCTTTGGAATTTTAGTATTCACTTGGCATCATTGGAATAGGTGGTGTTGCGACAGATTGTAAGACCTAGGTAAATAAAAAAAAGTTGCAAACGCGCATTTCCACACTTCCATCACAACTTCAATCTATAAGCAAACTGTTGCGCACAATCAAAAGTACGTTCTTCCCTATCCCTATCCTCCATCATCTTCTCATCTCTCTCATCTCTGCTTTTCTCGCCTTGGCGCAGCGCACCGAAAGAGATCGTGATGTTCCCTCCAAAGAAAGCGGGAATCCTAAGCCGTCCAATTTGAGTTTGCTGACCGTCCCAAGGCATATCATCCAAAACACTTTCGAAATCACATCAAAGGTCGATTAATCCACAATGTCTATGTACAATCATCGCGGTTTGGGTCCTGCCCCAGGTACCGCTCGATTGAATGAATTATTGGATGGCATTCGCGCCGAATTCGATACACAACAACGAGCAAGTGGGGAATATGAACATAATAGTGAGTCGCACATCAAGATGCGTGGGAAGGCGATGAGGATGATCAATGGCAGGATGAGGAAGGAATTCTTTGGAATCTCCGACTTACTGTGGTCATGATCTAATATCCGGCGCGATGCTAATATTGTGTCTTCATAGTTGCACAACAAATACAGGAGATGCAAATGGTTCGAGAGAAGGTCTATCAAATGGAACAAACACATCTAGCTTTGAAGCAAAAGTAGGGTTATGGATTCATACGAGAGAAGGTTAATATTGCTAATATTCAAAAGATATGACGATGAAATTCAACGCCTTCGCCACGAACTCGAGGCCAGAGGAGGCGCTTCTCGTCCACCTGCTATGGGTGGCCCTCCACAACACGCTCCATCCCAAGCACCACCAGCAATCGGACATGGCCCAAGCAATCTTTTTGGAGGTATAATGGCTGGTCAAGCAGCTCAAGGAGGTCCAGGTTTGGCTCCTCCGCCACAACAACAAGATGCGCAAGGTCCACTTCCACCACACGCGATGCCTCAACCACAACCAACCCTTCAAGGTCCTCCACCAAATCAACAAGGTCCTTTCCAAGGTGGTTATCCTCCACAAGGTCCTCCACAGAATGGTCCATATGGTGCTCAACCTCCTCAATCAACCGCTTCTCCCGGTCCCGGTAAAGGAGGCCCACGCCAAAACCGTGGTCCAGGTGGCCCAGCAACTCCTCAGATGCCGCAACAATTGCCATACAACAACGATCCTAGGCAATCACCACAAGTCGTTCACCCATTAGCTGGTATCGCTCGTGGACCTCAATACCCAGTCGGTAATGTGGGAAACGCTTTGGCAGAATTGGACCTTGAACGATTACCACCACAATTTAAGAAAGTAGAGGCCGATTGGTTCGCGATTTTCAACCCAGATGTTCCAAAGATTCTTGATGTTGATCTCGTTCATACCCTCATTCACGAATCTGTGGTTTGTTGTGTTCGTTTCAGTCACGATGGAAAATTTGTCGCAACTGGTTGCAATAGATCCGCTCAAATCTATGATGTTGTCAGTGGAAACAAAGTTTGCGTCCTTCAAGATGATTCTGTGGACTCCGTTGGAGATCTTTACATTAGAAGTGTTTGCTTTAGTCCAGATGGAAGATATCTCGCTACGGGTGCAGAGGATAAATTGATCAGGGTATGTTTTCCCCTCTTTTAAAATGGTTCACGTGCTAACTATAAATAGGTTTGGGATATTGCTACACGAACAATTAGAAATACCTTCTCAGGACATGAACAAGATATCTATTCATTGGATTTCGCTCGTGATGGTCGTACCATTGCTTCCGGAAGTGGTGATCGTACTGTTCGTCTTTGGGATATTGAAGCTAGTCAAAACATCTTGACTCTTAGCATTGAAGATGGTGTTACAACTGTCGCCATCTCACCTGATACCAAGTATGTCGCTGCTGGTTCACTTGATAAGAGTGTTCGCGTTTGGGATGCTGCTACTGGGTACTTGGTAGAAAGACTTGAAGGTCCAGATGGTCACAAGGACAGTGTTTATTCTGTTGCATTCGCACCAAACGGAAAAGACCTCGTTTCCGGAAGTTTGGATAAAACCATTAAGATGTGGGAACTTGTCGCTCCCAGAGGCGGTCACCCAAATACAGGTCCAAAGGGTGGAAGATGTTTACGTACATTTGAAGGACACAAGGTGAGCTATTCTTCATTTTTGAGTTCAATCTTCATGCTAACAAAATTTGATAGGACTTTGTTCTTTCCGTCGCTCTCACTCCAGATGGAGCTTGGGTTCTTTCCGGATCAAAGGATAGAGGTGTTCAATTCTGGGATCCAAGAACTGGTAACACTCAACTTATGTTACAAGGTCATAAGAACTCTGTTATTTCCGTGGCACCAAGTCCTTCAGGAGGTTCTTTCGCTACTGGTTCGGGTGATATGAGAGCGAGAATCTGGAGTTACAAGAACATCTAATAGACTGTTGATATAATGAAGAACTTGTGGTGGGAATGAAAGTAAGAAAAAATTCAAGAAACTGAAGAGGAGAGGAGAAGAAGAAAAAACAAAAACATGTTATTGTATCATACCAAAGGCGAGGCGATCAATGGCGTACTTGGTATGTTGAACCTGGTGAATATGGTATCTGATTGACTCTTTATTCATTGAGAAATTTTATGTTGGCAAGTTCATGGTGGACTGAAATGGCAATATATCTCTAGGGAGGTTTCTCATTTGGATGTTGGGGATGCGATGCATGCATGGGTTTCGTTTGTCTTATAGGAATTATTTGATGGGAAGGGGAGGGAGAAATGAAATAAATATATTTGATACGATAGATCAATGAGATGTAATTTTTTTTTTTTTTCCAAAAATGAGATGTGATTTCAGTGTATTGTGATGTAATGTGCTGTGCTGAGGGTGCTTTGTGAGAAGTAGATATATTGTATAGTGAGAGAGGAGGTAGGTAGACTGATTTATGTCTGAAGTACTTTTTTTAATTTGGGAAAGAGTGGTAAGAATGAGAAGTAAGAGCACAACCCGGCATGGCGGTCAGTTTTCTCAGCATCCTCTTTTCTCGAGACATGTAATTTCTGAGTTGCAGAATTTTAGGTGGCCCGATGGCACCCCTGTAAGACCTTCAATTTGGCATGTTAGTGGCCCAATGGCACTTCTGTAAGACCAGTCAAGTTCTTTATGGGCATGGTAGCGGCCCGATGGGATGGCGCTCCTGCAAGACCTTTCAAACGACACTTACTTTCCTTGCAAGCTTCCGGGTCGGAAGAAAGTCTGCGACCATATCCACCCACGTCGAGCCATCGGTTACAATTCAAATCCGTATCGTTCGATAAGGGGTGTAGCTTTTGATTCATCCGACTCTCAACAGTCCTTGGGCACCAAAAGACACTAAGCTCTGATGGTCTGGGACTTTCATTCAACTTCTCTCCTGCCTTCTCCAGATCGTTTTGGTTCGAGGAAAGATGCGATGGGCATATGGGCTTGCTTCTCTCTGTTGGAGCTACAAGATAATTTCTGGCTATCTGCCTTTCTGTTGGAGCTACAAGATACTATCTTGCTTTAACAACTATCGCCTTTTTATTGGAGCAGAGAAATACTATCTTGCTATCTGCCTCCCCGTTGGAGCCAAGATGTCCATTGTCGTCATTGTTAATTCGAAAGACCAAAAGATACTGTCCTTCCATAGTGATAGTGTTATACTTTCTGGAGGAGGGAAAAGATACTGTCCTTTCATAATGGTAGTGCTACACAAAAGACACTTTCCTTCCATAGTGGTGGCGCTGCACAAAAAACACTCTCCTTCCATGGTGGTGGCCCTGCACAAAAGACACTTTCCTTCCATGGTGGTGGCTCTGCACAAAAAGACACTGTCCTTCCATGGTGATGGCGTTGCACTTTTCTGGAGGAGGGAAAATATACTGTCCTTTCATGGTGGTGGCGCTGTATAAAAGACAATTTCCTTCCATAGTGATGACATTGCACTTTTCTGAAGGAGGAACAAGATATTGTTCTTCTATAGTGTTGGTGCTGCACAAAAAGGCACTTTCCTTCCATAGTAGTTGCGTTGCACTTTTCTGGAGAAGAAAAAAGACACTTTCCTTCCATGGTGGTGGCGCTGTACTTTTCTGGAGAAGAAAAAAGACACTGTTCTTCCATGATAGTAGTGATATACTTTCTGGAGGAAGAAAAAGACACTTTCCTTCCATGGTGGTTGCGCTGCACTTTTCTGAAGGAGAAAAAAGACATTGTTCTTCCATGGTGGTGGTGATATGCCCCCTTTTTATACTCAAATTCAATCGGAGATAATGAGGCAAGGAGGAAAAAGACACTGTCCTTTTATAGTGGTGGTACTATACTTTCTGGAGAAGGAAAAAGACACTGTTCTTTTACAGTAATAGTGATGTACCTTTTAGAGAAGGAAAAAGACACTGTCTTTCTATGGTGATAGTGATATGTTTTCTTTTCATATTTAAATTCAATCGGAGATAATGAGGCGAGGAGAGAAGAAGGGAAGAAGGGAAGAAGGGAAGAAGACGAAAAAGATGAGAGATTGAATTTATGTTTATGGAATTAGGATCCTAAATATCTATGATTTTGTGAGGAAAGCAAATGAACGAATGATCTTTAAGTTAAAGAAAAGCTTTATTTGATTGAGAAACCATTTGTACAATTACGTTTTTGAATACAAACATTTCTAACAACTTCAAGGGAATTCATGTTATGAGATCACCAAATCCTCATTCATATTATCCGATTGAATCTCATATCAGCAAGTGTAAATTTCAACTTCACTCTTAACTTCTTGTGAAAAGTAGACTTAAAGGCATACAGACTTTCATTTTCTAAAGTAGTCTCTAATCTATATCTGCGTGTTCTTTCCTGGGGGCCCCGAGAAACTTCTGGACCCGTAACCAATATGATACATGAAGTTCAGTCACTAACTCCAATGCCACCCAATTCAATAGAATCTTGTCCCACTGCATACCCTTCTAGCTGTTGAATCTTACAGCCATCTCAGGACTTCAAGACATCAAGAAGTCTGAAACGAATATTACTCAGGAGTTCCGTCATTCGTGATATCCGTACAACCCGCCCAATAATATGCACATACCCATCCAGCGCATCACATAGACCAAAATGTCAGGCACCACATGAACCTTGCGAATGTATACATGATGCCAAAGGCCAACTCCATAGAGCCCCTGGTGCTCTTCCGTGTTATGGTCCCTCCCCCAACCCCTCCACATAAGACTCCTATCTATTCTCGCATCTCACTTCCCCATTGCATTTTCCATTGCACCCCCATGAGCTCTCTGATCACATGTCTCATCTCTCCCTCTGAAATCTGTCCACGCGTTCTTTGCATGGATTCCGATCAACAGAACAAATCCAAAAGTGAGAGGTATATCAACCACCGCAGAATTCCTCTGCATCGGTGTTTTATTCCACCACCACACTCGAATCTTATCCGCCGGGTTTGATCGGCGAGCTGCAAGACGTGCGAGATGGGATGCAGGTGGTGGGCGGGGGAGGAGGGCTCTATCGAGACGGAAAAGACCCTTGAAGACTTTGCGGACAAAGAAGGAGGGGGGCATTCTGATGTGCGTGAAACGGCGTTGGTAACTTGTTATGGATTAATACGGGCCGGTGGAGCGAGGTTGTGGTTGGATGATGCGAGGCGAGTTCAACCACAAAGCGCACCAGTGATGAGACACGTACGTAGTAGGTATCGCTGTGATTTTAATGGCAATGGATGTGATTACTTGAAGGTTTGACTCTTCGAGGATTCAAATTTGAATATTCGATACAATAGATATAATAGTGATAACGGTTAAGGAAAGAAGATGATAGGTATAAAATACCCTATACTGGAATTTTCATTATTAGGTTAAGTCTTACGGAGAATTATCTGGGTTCTTTTGGTCGGTAATACTAACGCCTTGAGAGTCGATTCTTGGGGAGCGATTGAAATGACGATAAACTAGGTAATTGAACTGAAACCTAATAAGGTTACTAGAGAATCATAGAAAATCTAAATACTAATAATGAATGTTAGTAATATAGTATTTACATAGACTTACTTCTATTCCTTTAACTCTTTTAATTAGCTGATATACATAAGGATCTTACAGAGAATCTAGTCGATCATTTTCTAAATTATATAATAATCTTATAACTATTATTAAAATATTATATATTAACTTTGTAAAAAGATAAAGTAGTTAACATCGATATATATAAATTACGTATATAAGTAAATTATATAATTCTCTTTTCTTTACAAGGAGGAGAAGAATTATATCTAAATAATTATATATCTCAACTTGTATCATTTATTTTGTATAGACTTTTATGATGCTTTATTTAGTGATTCGAATCCGATGTCTTCATAATCCGTGTAGCAGATTTCTAAATCCTCATCTTCACCCTTTCATTTCAAGATCATCAACGTGATAGGAGACACTTAGTTCCTCAACATCTTGCGCATAATCTATGATTACCCATCTTCCGATCATTTGCTCAGCCCAGAACCTTGTGTATTATACATAAAAAAAAATCTTACAAGAATAGCAGATATACGATACTCAAACAGGTTTGTACATGCTAAAATTGATATCGTTACAATAAGTACTATGTTCTGACCCCGTAATGGCCATTAACCAGCCGTTCACCAAAGTTGTATAATACAAATTTCATTTTCCTTCCCATTCATTCATACAAAGAAATCCTTCATCAATCTAATACAAAGATCAGTTCGACTTAGATCAAGAACCAGATCTCCTGGTTTTCCATGCCTCCCACATTCTATTTCATCCCTCATCCATTCATATGTGCAACTTGCATCGCTTGCGTATTTACTCAGAAACGACCTTTGTCTTGATTCTCGAGCCACCGCTCTTAACACGTCTTGCGGAAGGACGGTTGATGTGGTGGTCTGGGATCCAGCTCTCATCATAAGCTTGTTGAGCCAAAGATTGAGTTGTAACAGCTGGACCATCAGCACCGATAACAGAGACTTGATCCTTAACATCGACTGCCTTCTTGCTTCCTCCAGAAGAACGCTTGGCGCGCTCACCACCTTTTCCACCTTTGCGAGTTTGGGGGAAGAGAGATTCGATCCAGGTTCTGTAAACGAAGTAGAGAGTACCACCGGTGACTGCGAGGAGGAAGAGATAGAGGAAGATGCTATTGTGATGTTAGTCTAATTCATTTCCTGAAAAATCACACTGCAGAGCTTACATTTGTGGATCGAAAATGCTAGTAGCAGCTTCAACAACAGCGACAGTCTCATTATAAGCCTGAATTTGATAAACACCACCCTTTTGACTAGCCACAACCGCAATAATGTTCAATCTCAAATCTTGAGGGTTCAAATCCGTAGTAAAAGCATATGTCAAACTTTCTGCCTCACCAGGCTGAATCTCAACATCATATCTTGTCGAGGTCAAATTGCGCACAATAGCAGCACTAGGATGAGTTCCTTCTGGCAGAGTCTGAAGAGTAGACAAAGAGCCACCAACAACAGCTACTTGAACAGCTTCAGCTTCATCGTTTTGGAATGTAAGAAGGGCTCGAGAAGCATGGCCATTGACGAGTTTAACACCAAAGATTTCTGCTTCAGGAAATGCAGCAACGACTGAGACGGCGAGATTGGTTGGGGGAGTTTCGAATCCTTCTGCTGCTGCTTCTGTACGTTGATCTTCAGTCTATTGATGAATATAAATTAGTATTCATTTTGGTTCTTAATGGTATCCTTTAGCTCCCGAAAGCTATTTGAAGCTAATGACAGCTGTCATTAATAGGGAAACATTAAACTTACACTTTCTGGTGCAGCAAAAACGCTGACAGCACGAAGAGCGAGAAGAGCAAGAGTAGTAAGCTTGTAGGAAACCATGATGAGCAGATCAATTGAATGAATTGATAGAAGAGAAGGTAAAGAGGGAATGTGGAAGTAAAAGGTGGTCGGATGGTATTATGACGAATTTATGTCCCAGCTTCTAGAAATGTGTTCTCGGCAACTAGCGTATAAATTGTTGCCATTGCTCGGGAATCCCAGTAGCTGCAGCAAGTAGACCAATTTTGGGATGAAGTCATACAAGATAGAAAAATATGACATTTATTTGTTCGAGTGTTCGTCCAATAGATTAAATGTAGTAATTAATATTTGCTGACAGATTGTGAGATGTTGAAGAAGAGGATTTTTGCTGTGAATCACCATCACCACAGGCCAACGAAACAAGCAGCAGATAGCTAGACATATTAGACCTCATCCATGTTCTACAGAGTACACAAAACTAACGTCGTCACATCACCAGCAGTCAATCACTCAGAGCAAACAATTTTTGATCATTTTTTCATTATTTTGCTGGTTGGGTCCGTAAATACGTGATGCCCAATACTATCCATGCCATGCATGCATTGGCTATTACCAGTTTTTCCCAGTCCAGTAGTCATCAAAAGCTCTTCGAGGCAAAATGTCCCCCAAAAGTGCGCTATCATCAAATAAAGGCTTCTCGTAAGAAAAGCACCGCCGTTCTCTATCATACACAGACCAGAAGGTTTATAGCTTGCTCTGTAAGCTATATTTTTAAACCAACGTTATGTTCTGGGAGCTCATTCTCGAGAGCAGTTTGATCATTCGACCTCTTATAGGGAATGATCAGCAATATCGGTAGTATGTAGAAGCGTGTAAATCCATAAGCAACGAGTCAACGAGCCAAAAAAACACGCCTATTTTTTTTTTGTTAAGGTCAACAAGGGTGGAGGGAAGACAATTTCTCTCGTCAAGTTCAAGCACCAACCATTCCAGGTCCGTAACTTTGACGCATCGGTCCTTGGAAACCGTGAGATGTTGGAGTCTTTCCTTTGTTAGCTTGCACATTTGATGGATATAGCACACTACCCACCTTCTTTGGTCGCTTTCGACCACCGGCTCTGTCATCGCCATCGCCGGTGGAATATCCACCATCATCATCAACGTAACCCTCGCCATAGCCTTCAAAACTTGAATCACCATATGAGCGCTTCTTTGCGGTTCTTTTTGGACGTGCAATATCTGCCGCGCCTCTATTTTGCTTTGGTACACCCATCGTGCCTTGCGCCATTGCCATTGGAGCCTTTGCCTTCGCGGGAACAGCCTTTAAGGGATCGTTGGCAATTTGGGAACTGATTTCACCAAGAACAGAATGATTCCAACGTTCTTTTGGAACGGGGCCTTTGGCCATGATTAAAGCCGTCTTAAGTTGAGGTAGTAAATCCTCTATTCCTCTACTGATTTCTTTTCCTTGTACATAAGATTGATTCCATGCTTCCCTGGGCCCAGAAGGTCCGTAGGGATCAATCAATGAAGTGAGTGATCCAGGCTGATTAGGTTCTGGACCTTTGACTGCATCGAACTGCCCAGCAATACCCAAGGATTTTATATATCCTTTGTAGGTTTTTCGAACTGTGTTCTTCTTCCCATCTGCTGTGACACGAGCAAGACTGGCAGCAATTCCGTTCAAACCGAATCGATCGTATAAATCTTGTTGTACGTTTAAATTTTGATGCTTATGAACTGTATGTCATTCCATGTTAACAAAATATTTCATCCAAGTGGTGGATAAAGCATATTAAATAGATATGCTTGAGATTGTAACCACCAACAAGTTAGATCAACTAGAAAGAAGGAATTCTTACGAGTTCTGCAGAGAAGGTACTTTTTACCGACATCCTGATGGAGATCGTCAATACTAGGTCTGCTGTCCTCGACGTGAACTTTCTTCTGCTTTTGATCACCAAGATCTTCATAATCTCTCTTGCGCTTGGTCGAAGGATCCATTGATTGAGATGCCTCGGTGGCGGAATTGACAGTTGACATGCTGCCGTTGATGCTGTGGGCTGGTGTCGGAAGTGAAGTGTTTATTCGTGGAGAAACCACGTTCTTTGAAGAAATATCGGTAGAGCCTGGGGTGTTGGAAGGACTTTGTGGTGTTTGTGGGAGATCAGAAGGCATTTCGGTAATAAGTTTGAATATTAAAGTAATCGAGGTTGTTGTAGAAAAGAAAAAAAGGTGAATGTGGTGGTAGACGGATTGATTGTTGCGACTTCGGCCGTACTGAAAAGTTTATTCTTATCGAAAAGATTGTATAAGGGTATCGAAATGCGCCTCGAGATTATTGAGAAAGAAGGAATGCAGAGTAATAATTGTACAGAGTATGGAGCGAGTGTCGAGGATAAAAGGAACCTGTTTTCGATCGGATTCTCGAGGCTCGAAGAAAGGTAAGAGGGAATGAAGGAGAAGGTGGATCGAGAACGATTGTCGCAGAAATGGACCTACACCGCCGACGGCAGCGCTGAATCGACCTGTGCTCTTATTTCATGTAGGTCGTCGAGATCGTGTTATCAATGCGATATTGTTTTTCGTATAATCAACGTCGGTTTCGTTATTGTCGTTGATGGTGATGAATTTCCTGCGGAGTTGGGCAGATCGTTCATGTGAGGTCAATAGGATTGGGAGGCGCTTTGTCAATGAATTGGCTGAACGAAAGATTTAGCGCCACAGTCACGTGTAAATTAAACCGAGGTCAGCTTTTCATTCAATTTTTTTCTTCTCTCCTCTGTTACTGTAATCGTTATGATAGGATGTGAATCAATTAAAGAAATGAATGCGATTATCCTACAATATGTACCATTTTGAGAAATTTTGGAAAAGATTTAAAAAGAGTCGAAATTGGACATTTCCATCATGAAACTCATTATTAAACACTCCGTATGATTCCCAGCTCTTCTCTAGCCAGAATCGATCAAACGCATTTTGAGTTGTTCCAGCCCCATTTTCAACTTGAACCAAGCCTGTGTGCACTAAACTAGATATAGATTAGCTCGAATGGAAATTGCCGGGTTTGTTACTGATAGGAAATAATTTTTTGATATCGAGAAAATTCCCTATGAATGTATTTGTTTTTTGATATTTAAATCAAAAATCAACAACAAACATTGAATAATACAACATCATGTCTGAAGGGAGAAAGAGACCATTCGACGATGATGTTGCCATTGAGGCAGCATCCGAAGAAGCCCAAACACATACCTCGAAGAAACCCAGAAAAGAAACGAATGCATCTGCCCGCCGTTCATTGTTTGTTCGTTCTTTGCCTGCGACAGCTACAACCGCATCATTGACTGAGCTATTTTCCGACAATTATCCCCTCAAGCATGCCACAGTTGTACTGGATCCCGTTACAAAACAATCAAAGGGTTATGGATTCGTCACATTTGCAGATGCGGAAGACGCTCAGAGAGCCTTGGATGAATTCAACGGTCAATCATTTCAAGGTCGTAAAATGAAGATTGAAATTGCTCAACCACGTTCCAGAGATGCGCCAGCAAAAGGTGGAGACGATGGATTGAAAATGCCCAAGGAGAAAAATGCAATTGCTACCGAAGCAGCTGCTGTCAAGAAAGCCCGACAAGAGAAATTGGCAGAATCGAAAGCACCCCCCAAACTTATCATTCGAAATCTGCCATGGAGCGTCAAGACTCCCGACGAATTGGCTAAACTATTCATGGGGTTTGGAAAGGTCAAGTTCGCTACAATGCCCAAAGTCAAAGGAAAGGAAGCGGGGTTCGGATTTATTGTCATGCGGGGCAAGAAGAATGCAGAGAAGGCATTGGCTGCAATCAATGGGCGTGAGATTGATGGCAGGCAATTGGCTGTTGATTGGGCTGTTGAAAAGGATGTTTGGGAGAAGAAAAAGAACGAGGATGCAGGCATTAGTGAGGATGTGGAAAAACCAAAGGATGAACCCAAACAGCCGAAAGACAAGGCAGAAGACGATGATGTAGACGATGATGTCGCAAATTTCATGAAGAATTTTGGAGATCAACTAGAGTCTGAGGACGAGAGTGACCCCGAAGCCGATCAAGAGAATGAAGACGACATTGACGATGAGGACGACGAGGACGACGAAATTGAAAACGACGACGACTTTGATGATATAGCTGAAGATGAGTCGATTGAAGAAGAAAAGCCAAAGAAAGTTTTCATTACCGACAATTCAACCACACTTTTTATTCGCAATCTCCCTTTTACGACTCTCGACGCAACTCTGAAGGAACATTTTGAACAATTCGGTCCTGTTAGATATGCTCGAGTAGTCATGGATAAGGCAACAGATCGCCCTAAGGGCACCGGTTTCGTCTGTTTCTACAACGTCGAAGATGCTGAGTCTTGTTTCCGAAATTGCCCTAAATATCAACCCACTGGCGCAAATGCAATCAAGAAGGGTGATACTCCACAAATTAAGCATTCTCTCCTGGAACCTGAAAACGCAGATTCAACAGGTGCTTATACCATTGAAGGAAGACTTCTTCAGATATCCAAGGCTGTGGAGAAAGATCAAGCAGTGAAGCTTACAGAGGAGGGATCGCATTTCCGTGATAACCGCGACAAGGACAAACGAAAGCTTTACCTTCTTCAAGAAGGTACTGTCGCAAAGGGCACCCCTCTCTATGATATACTCCCACCTTCCGAGGTAAAGATGCGCGAGGATAGTGCCATGCAAAGAAAGAAACTTATTCAAGGCAACCCAACTCTGCATCTCAGTCTCACGCGTCTGGCCATACGTAACATACCCCGTAATATCGATTCTAAAGCTCTCAAAGCTCTAGCTCGTGAGGCCGTTGTTGGATTTGCTACAGATGTTAAGGCAGGATTACGTCAGCAACTTTCCAAGGAAGAAATCTCACGAGGAGGTGAAGAGATGCGCGAAGCTGAAAAGCAAAGAAAGGCCAAAGGCAAAGGTATCGTTCGACAGGCTAAAGTTGTGTTTGAGGGTAGAGAAGGCAAGAAAGTTAGCGAGGAGAGCGGTGCCGGAAAATCAAGAGGATATGGTTTCGTTGAATATTCGAGTCACAGATGGGCCCTCATGGGTTTAAGATGGTTGAACGGCCACGCACTCACCAACTCCCAAGGGAAAACACAAAGAATGATCGTAGAATTTGCCATTGAGAACGCACAAGTAGTTTCCAGAAGAAAAGAACACGAAGAGAAAGCTCGCAATCGGTCAAAAGAAGTTACCGATAAGATTGCCAAGGGCGAAATCGTCAGCTCGAAGAAATTGGCAGGTAGAGATACACAAATGAAATCGATGAGAAAGGGTGGAAAGGGCATCAAGGGAGCTGGTAAAGGTGGGAAATTCGAAAAGGAAAAGAGTTTCGATAGAGTCGCTCTCAAGTAAGTCTACGTTCCATTTTGCATTAACAAGTATGACGTATTAATTATCAAATAGGGGTAAACGTAAAGCCGAAGACGACGCATCTGAACAAAAAGATAGAAAGAAGCCAAGGAACGAAGCAGCCGAAGGCGATGATGATAGCAAACAAAAAAAGAAGGCACAAATTATCCAAAAGAAGAGAATGATGAGGAGGAATAGAAAAGGTGGCGCTTAAATGGGTGGTATATGAAGGGGCTGGCAGGACGAGAGACGAGGTAGAAGGGAAAAGAGGGAAGAGAGGTTCATGGAGTTGAACATACATAGTGGGGGGTGTATAGTTGGAGAAGCGATCATTGTATTCGAGCTCAAGCTTGATTGTGTGATTAATATGATACCTGCCTTGATGGCTGAACAATAATTACTCTTTTTCACATTCAAATCATACTTGTTATGAATCGACCGATAGCACACCCTACCCCTCAAAATCACGTGAAACTACCCCAAATTGAATAACCGATGACTCCTTTTCATTTTTTCGAGGACACTTCCACTCATAATCCTAATCATCCGCAGCAGTATGCCCATACACAATCACAGAAATGATAATCACATTCATAACCAATCGCATTAATGCAAAATCCTCTAAATTCGCGTCAATAATGACATTTTTCGCTTATTCCGAAGAAATGTTTATTCATGACGTCTTGATCGAGTAATATACCGCCAGTCACGTACTGATATCAAGTAGCTTAGCGGTTTATACACATGTTTGACTCGAACATCTGTTCCTAGTATATCCACATCTCAAAATAAACACTCCGAGTCCAAAAACAATATTTTCAAGTCAAGAATGATTATTTTCGCTTATTCCGAACGAATATTTATTCATAGTGTTTATATCCAGTCATTCACAGTTACGTCTTTGACCCGAAGGAATATTTTACAGTCTTTATTTATTATTCTGACCGAGATATCAATGACAGTCACTTTTCGACGGTGAGTTATTCACTTTAAGTCAAGATACGGTGCACTCGAGTCAATAATGACTGGTTTTGAGCATTGCGAGGATTTTGAGATTCACCGCTGTCTATCTTTGGATTGGTGTGACGATTTCCTGTTATTTACTCATCATTTACATGTGACTTGGACTAGAATGATGTATAGAGAGATTATTCACAGAAGTGAAAGAATGAATATACGGAATCAAATCATAGGGGCTTGGACTTTTAGTATCGTCAAGATGGTGATTATAACATCTTCATAATAGGCTTAACTCGTCGGTTCGTATTTTGTATGTCTTCTAAGTTCAGAGCTGCGATAAATATGTGCAGTACGCTCGTGAGCTCATATGTACATATTCACTCATGTCGTAACGGGGGCTCATAGTTGTCTACCGATTTTGGTATCAATATGACTGTTTTTGATTATTGCGTCATTTTTTGCAAGCGATGTTGACTCGGATATTACAGAATATATTCATACTCTCAAGGTCCCTAAATGTATTTTTGGATTCATGGGACTCATTAATCGGTTGTTTTGACTCGAATACCTGTTTCTGTATACATTATAATCACAACATGAGCATTTTGAGTCAGAGTAACCTCACTTTACAGTCATTCCAAATGCTTTCCAGGAGAAAGTTACAGGGGGGTCGTGGGCATAATAAGCAACGGAGTACCCCTCTTGGTTTGAGTTTGCAATCAACAAAATCTCTTTAGAATAAATCGAAATACAACAAAGTTCTTGCAAATCAAAGATAATCCCTACATATTATCTCTCTTTTGACTTTAAGCACAATCCTCTTGCCTCCAGAGCTTTACCTCTTCAATTACCAGGCGCGATTTGATCAAAAAACACCAAGTCCTCTCCCTTAACCAGCTTTTACGCGGATACTAGTGTTTATCGTCATAGATACACCCTTCATCATTCCATAACGGCTTCGGTACATCACATTCCCAGCTAGTATCGCCCATATCCAGTCTCTATTGACTATTGAATCGACAGCGTACTTCATTGTCAAATTCGGAGCTCATCATAGTCTTAGATACCCAACAGACCTTTGACATCGTATCCAGCGGACAGACTGGAAATCTCCCAACTTCTATTATCCGAGTCGTTTTGCTATCTAGTATCTACGTGTGGTATTTTAGCAATGTCCGATGATTGCACTGAAGAAGGCTGGCACGAAGCGGGGCAGGGGTCTGGATGGAACCAAGATGAAGTTCCTGATATGAACTACGATCTTAACTGGTCACAACCCTCAACTGGTGCCTACAATACTCCAACTATGGGCTATGGAGAAGCATCTCAGCAGCAGCAGGGAAATTTCCTTTCACAACAGCTGCAACAGTTTGACACATTCCAGACGTCATCTCTTGCTTCTGGGAGCCCTGCTGCGTATGGTTTAGCTGCCCCTCCAGGTACCCATCTCTCCCGTGGATCATCAGCGCATTCTGGAAACCGTCTTCATGGCACCAGGCAGCCCACTGAGGACGTCGCAAGTCCGGGACTACCAGTCATGGAGGAGGAGTTAAATTACCCACAAATGGATTTGATAGAGGGTGAGGCTCCTTATGGATTTCCAGACAGTTGGATTCCCAACACCGCCTTCGCGAAAACTCGATGGGTGCATATGCCAAAGGCTGGGGAGCCTGATTACGGCTACTCGCCCGTGACGAAAAACCTTATGAAAGAGTTCTGGCAAGCTGCTACTGCTGACGAAGAAGAGTCATTGATCTGTAGAAGATGGGATCATGTTGACTTCTTTCGGCTTGTATATCTCACTGTAACCTTGGTACGGAATGTCAGCATGAACACTGTCTCCGATGAAGACGAAGGTATGCTAGAGAGGATAGCGACAATATTCAACATGGCTAGCCCTCGGACTCACAATAGACCGCCAGGCTTTTTTAGAACCCTCGATAATCGACATAAGCTGGTAGATGTTCCGATATTGAGACAATTATTCCAGATTCTCAACAACCAAAACAATCCAAACCGCAATGATCCTTTGATAAGAGTTATGGCGTGGTCTACGAGAAGAGGAGTCTCCATGATCACTCCCAAGAGAGTTCTGAATGGCATACCAGAGGCAATCTATGCATACTTTAATATGACATTTCAGCAGTGTAACGCACAAAAATCGTACTTTCGCTTCGACTCGAGTCATTATTTGATGGCCTTCCAGCACTATGACGGAGATTCAAATTGGAGGCTACTGGGACCTTCGGGTGTAGACCCTAAACCGGTTCCCGGTGGCTCAATTCCTGGCCCCTTGTCATCTGAGAGTCCAGGGCCTCAACCTCGACATGCTTACAGCTCGCAGTCGCAGCAGCTAGAAGATACCCATCGGGCACCAACCGGTTCTGGGAAAGGTAAGAAACGTGCCACAAGTGATAATTCATCATCCAGCTCTTCTAGAAGATTGCACAAAAGGCATACCGAGTATCGTAACTAATGGGGCCGGTAGCGAGGAGTAACATTTCTGGGAGGTTTTCTTACGAAGATGATGGAGAGATATTAAGGCTAGACGCGTTGGTCATACTGTTAGGATGTAATTGGACACCAGGAAGTCCGATGCGCTAGCCGCACGACTGAGGATTTCTTTTAATGGGGCATAGAGCGGCTTCAAATGTAGATGCGATGGTCGCACCACTGGTAATAAAGACCCGAAGATAGATAGATAATGCTTAATAACGTTGCTTTTTCCACTAAATTTTTCTCGACGTTTTGGGTTCCATACCACTTCATTTGACATCTGCATTGTAATAGGAACTAGGAACTGGGAACCGAAGCAGTTTTTCAATAGAATACATATGAGCTGGAAAAGTCAGGTATTGAAGTGAATCTCCTATGCTGTTGACTCCAATACCATATCTGAGTCACTCTTCATATGCAGTTTTTGAGTCAGAGTACTCTTTTACAGTCATCTTGAAAGCTTTTCAGAGAAGGGCTACAGGGGGATTGTGAGAATAATAAGGAACCGTGCAACCCTCTTGATTCGAGTCTGCAAAGTACGAAACATCTTCAGAATACACAACAATAACAAAACACTTGTGAACCAAGATAATCTTCTTAATATTACCTCATACACACTTTATCACCATCCATTATTTTTCTTCAGTAATACATTACCTTACTGTTTAGCAAAGTTTCTAGGCATTCCCGTCGCCAAGCTCGTCTTCGGAATCTACTTGCAGTGTCTAGCTGCCAGAGTCGCAAGCTTAGTGTCACCACTCTTTACCCCATCAGATCGATCAGCAAACTAAGAACTGCACCTAAATTTTACTGAACAGCCATGTCTTACAACAGAGATGCCCATACGTATGATGAATTGCGTGAGCGTCGTTGGTCTCGCCGTCAAATCATCGAAGGTGACGCGGGCCCAGTGATAGGGAGAATACCTGAGGAATATGAACCATCTCTTGCGTCAGGAGAACATTATTCATACCCTTCCTCATATTTATCTCAACCTGTTGCGTCAGGAGAACAGTATTCATATCCTTCCTCAAATTTATCTCAACCTCTTGCATCAGGAAGCCAATATTCATCAGGGAATTATGGACAAAACTCAAACGCCGGACAATATGGACCTACATTTGACAACCTAAATATTGCCCAACCTCAACCACAGACCGCGCAACACTTTCAGCAGTATAGTCCACCGCCACCATCCATAAATTCAAGTGATCTTAACCCATCAGTCATAAATCCCCAGGAAGTTCAAAATTATGGTAGTCTCATGGCTGCTCATAATTACGCTCAGCGTAAGCAAGATACTCGCCATTTTCTTGGAGATCAAAGACAGCTCTCTCCGCCTACACGGGGGCCTTCTTCCATCTACGCCCAGACCCCAGGCACACCAACAACCTTCGAACAGCTAAAGACTGAGATACCTGGAGCAAAGTACATTCCTCGTCAAACTAATGAACCACCCTATGGAGAATGGTCTACTGATCCTTGGAAATCAGGATATTTTCCGGATTTCAACAAAACTCGGCCCAATAAGGGTGTCGTGGCTGATCTGTGGATAGATACATGGCAGGGTAAAGCGGGCTGTGAGGATGAAAAGATATGTCTTATGTTTGATCATGTGGACTTATATCGACTAGCATACATCACTACAGTTCATCTGGGAGCAGTGCACAGACCTGACACCATAGTTGAAGGTTTGCAAGGAACAGGGCCTAACGGGAGTGATCCGGTAAATACGGTTGGTGACATAGTGGCGATACTCAATAAAGCCGGAAGACCACCAGGCTTTGAAAGAGTAACTCATTTGCGACCAAACGCCTTCACTGAGGAGCAAGTGAGGCACTTGTTCGACATCATGGCCAATAAAAAAAACACGAAGCGTGATAAAGCATTCAGGAATGTGGAGCAATGGGCGCTACGTCCTTCATGGTCTCCTCGACGGGTTCTTCGCAACGTGCCAGAAACGATTGTGGATTATTGGGGACACACTTATGATAAAGCCCTGAGGGATCCAGGCCTCCGATGGGATTGGCGAATCAAAGAGTTCATCTATGTAGAAACTCTTGATATCGAAGGAAACGCGCAATGGACATTGGAGTCCAATGAATATGAACCAGGCAGTCAACCTTCAGGGTCAACGTCAAAAGAACAACAATCTGGAAAATATTTGAGACGACACATTAAAGATCCCAGTCATTCGAATTCAGGCTCCTCGAATAGGCACCATCGCTCACATCACTCACATCGCTCACATCATTCTAACCCAGATGAGGAGCCCAAAGACAAGGGAAAGGGACGTAAACATTAATTTGAGGACAAAAGAACGTAATGTTCGGAAACAGAACGTTCTGCAGAACTTGCATGGCATTTCATAAAGGAATTTAGACATTAGATGCGCTGGTCGCTCCATTAGGACATAATTAGATACCGGGAAGTCTCATACGCTGGTCGTACGACTGAGGATTTACTTAATCAAGGCATGCATAGATGCAAGAGGTAGAGGCGCTGGTCGCACCACCGCAAGATACAGGTAGAACACCTAGAGATAGATGGATAATATTTAACAACGTTGCTTTTCACACTGAATTCTTAACACATTAGTTTTGATACCGTTTCAGTCGATATCTGCCTCTTAATCGGGACTAGAAAAGGGAATCGTCTTTTATTGAAGTGTATGGGGTCCAGAAGAGGTAGGTATTGAATTTAATCTCCTGTGCTCCCTATTGTTTGAATAGAGTGAAAGATAGATAGCCGGCACCCTTATATTTTATCTTATTTTGAGGAAATACATCCACCTCTACAAGACCGAAACTTAGCATGTCATAATGCTATAAGAGCTACTCCAAACTTACCCCCAGCTCCTTTGAAACCTTTCCTCTCTATAAACGGAGGGGATCTGTAGAAAGGGTTGATTAACCAGTGAGAGAAGGGGAAATTTGTCTTCATTTCGCTTCCGAGTGCATTTATAATTTTCAGAAATATTCGAACATCCAAATCAAATAAGAGTTGGTAATAATGAGGAGGAATTACTTGAATTGAGCGTCTCTGAGTATACCTCCAGTGTTGGTCCTTGTTTTCCCAAGATGTTGATCATAAATACGTATCAACACCGAAATAGATACTCCGAACAACCAAGTCCATTCGCATTTTATAGAGATTTAGTGATACTTCAAGGAAGAATGGTATCATAGACCATCTTCAATCATTCAACGCTCAAATATACCTCAACTCAAGCTATCAGAGACACTTATCCATAGAAACTTAATTTGTCGTGTCATTTTTCATAAATTTTAGACATAATTTAGCTTCACTTGATGGAGTTGACTCTATTTAGGCCTATAAAAAGACACAAGATATATAAGAACAACAATAATAAGTAAATTTGATCATTTAGTCTTCGATATACCCCCAAGGAGCCTATGAGGGATTCTGATACGTTGAAAATGACGACATATTACTCATTCTAGCCGTAGTTTGAGAAAACTTGGCTCGATTTAGTCATTAATGACTTAGTTCCGATTGTTATCAGATATGAATCAGTATGAATAAGTAGTCAAATTGACTTTATTACAGCGAGACAGAGGAGCTCAAAAAGACTTCATAAATCTCGCAATTGAACTTGTAGATTGGTGAATTAGAATGCATCGGAATACATCGAGCTTTAGAGAAACTACCCCGGAATCTTTCCATATCATATCTCGGTAAGATTGCTACCTAGGTAGATAGATAAAGATCTCTATACAATAACTACTTCTTTCTATACATACATGGCTTAGCTCTCTAGACAGAATAAAATGTTATTAATTAGGAACTATATAGTAAGTACTGCGTCACTGGCACTCTATTTACACAAGATGCGATCGAATCTGTGTAGAGAAAAGCTAGCTGTAAAGTGAAATGACCATCTATTTTCCTATCTTTAACTTCGAGTTGAAGTTCAGATAATGAGTTCAAATAGAAGGCATTCTGACTCGAAAGATGCATTCGAGAGATATCAAAGTGATAAGAACAGGGCACTGCAGTCAAAAGCTTATGAAAATGAGTCTCACACGAAGGTATTGTGACTCAAAAATGTTCACATTAGGGTATGATACACTCGGAAACAGGTTTAAGATCAGAACTACTGAGCAATGAGTCTTCTTGATTCTAAAAATAAATTTAGATATAAGTGTATTCCAAAGCCGTCGGTATTGAATATCGCATGTGGATGAAGAAAGACTTGATCCGAAAATACTCATATTATTCACAGAACATACAGTTGTAAGTTCACAGCCCTGAGAAGCTGACCTCACGCATTCATTTAATCCTATAAATAACTTCTCCATGTATAGCTCAAGTCAATATCATATGTAAGAGAAGAGACGAGAGAACAGTCGAGAATCATTATATCAATCCCAAAATAAACAATGTTGAACGAACGTTGCTCGGTATCCTCAAGATAATTTACACCATTCATTGTTGGATCAATCGTCAGAATTTTGACTTGGATGGTGACTGTGATAGGACATGTCGAGATAAAAAAAAACAGGAGAATGGCGGCAAAATGCCCTATAGGGGCCACTTTAGTGACCCGTTGAGATATCGTGAATAGATACTATTCTAGAATAACATTTTCTGGAATAACATCAGATATTCATTCCGGGCTTGAATATTGTGTGTCTTGGCTCCAAATCTTCCTTGATATCTACAACATCTTCATGTACTTTATTCGAACTAAAACAAAAAGCGAAGGATTGGAAAAGCCCTCGAGATAACTACATCGCTGGCTGGTAATAATTTGATGGAAACACGATGAGTGAATACCCCTTCGGAACAAGCAGAAATGAGTGTGCCTGGTCTGTGATCAAGAGAATTTGTATCAATACCGATCCATTCTCATGAATGTAGATGTTCTGGATATAATTGAGTTTAGGGAAGCAAGATAGATCTGAATGAAAAAGGTGAGATTGCTTGGTCTAAGTTATAACGCAAAATATCATAGTGATTAAATGTTCAAGCTGAAGCACGAATATAATGATCGCGTTGCGAACTACGCATACCCATTTTTGCTTCACTCCACACAGTTCCTCTCCTCTCCTCGACCAGAAGAGAAAAAAGCCTTTGTACTGCTTCCAATTTGTGTCATAAATGATTGAACGGGTGTTTTTCAATCGAGTCTATCGAGAAAAATGTCCAGATATCCTGATCTCGTTTCCAATTCAAAGACAAGGAAAGTTTGAGTTAACTTTGAAGGGTTGAGCAGGTAAAGAGGACGTGAGAACTTCTAGGGGACAAAGAAGTGTTGAAGAGCTCGAAAAGAAGAGGGGAGATGAAACCACTCTTGGGCTTAAACGTAGCCCTTCTACTTTATTTTCTCGTGCTCTTGGTTAACACGGCCTTGCGAGATCATTTCTTTGACAATGTGATGCATCTGGAGATTCTCTGAAGGCTGGCTTTCAACCTCCATCACAGCTTGAAAAATCTCGAGAGCCACACTAGCTACTTCAAAGCTGCGAATTCGTCAATGCGGAGATTTATCTGTTCTCTGCTCCATACCGCATCGCTCTCCCATGAAGCGCTTGGCCGCAGTTGTGGAAGCATTTCCATTCGCGATATGAATGAAATAAGTCGTTGTATTGAAATCAAGACCGTCTCTCAACCACTGAGCGTTTTAACAAGTAAAAAACTCATTTGATTGACGTTGTAATTTGGACCATGAGGGAGTGATTGCCAAGACTAGATTGCGACTTTGAAACCCGATTATTTTGTCTTGATTTGGATATGAAGACAACAAGGTGTACTAGTCACTAATTAGGGCCTCTTAATTACCGCGGATACCTGCCATTGAAGCCGCCCCATTCTTGGTCCCGTGCAAATCATCGGTCTCGAACATTGCCAAGAAGTATATTGGACCCCAAATGCAATGCCACCACACCCATTCAACGTTGACTGGTCTGCACACTGCACATACAGAACCAGGACTAGGCACGGATGCACATCTGTTCACGACCTATACCCCGCGCAACTCCTGAGGTGCATTTATTGAACGCGGAATTGAAGCATGCTCGCGGCACGGTCAGACCAGATTTGGAGCGGCGTCCATGGTAGACGGAGATTTTTCGATGTTGGTTATCGTGGTGATGTGTAGATACCGAATTTTTGTTACGTATGTAGAATGAAGGGGAAGTTCGGAGAGTACAATGGTACAAGCGAGTAGTTTTGATAAGATACCGAATGGCTGGTGGGGTCCACGCCGAGAGATGTCCGGCGGGTAATTGGTTGGGATGTGATGTAACACAATAACGCTTTACCCCGCAGGCCCGCAGGAAGGAAAATTGATGGGAAATGATCGTTTGAGTACAGACAGACAGATAGACAGACAGATAGATAGACGGACAGACGGACAGACGGACAGACAGACAGACAGATAGATAGACAGATAGATAGACAGACAGATAGATAGACGGACAGATAGATAGACAGACAGATAGATAGACGGACAGGCGGACGGACAGACAGACAGAAGGACAACTATGCCGGTGTCTCGATGTGCATACAAATTGAGTGGGCATGATATGTAGGGTCTACGAGGCAAGCGAGGCAGGCGAGGCAGGTCTAGAGGCAAAAGGACAGGAACACCAGAAGTTGCATATGTGTCACAATGGGCTGGGAGAGGAGACAGCTAGCTGGGTCAAGTCAACAGGTAAGGTTAAGAATGGGATTGATTATCATCACCTGGTGAAACATCCACCAGTCAGTTCTATTGAGCTTCATAGGGCATGCATACATACATACTTTTTACATGATCATCGTATGCTTCATAGTACTACCATAGAATCCATCCTTTGTACATGATCACCATGTGCTTCACAGTACGTCCATAGATTCCATACTTTAACATGATCATCGTGTGCTTCATGATCATCGTCACATACCCAACGTTCTAGATAGTGGCAAGCAATGTAATGCATCTCTCATCCACTTCGACGTGAAGGTCTTTCTGTTCCTGAGCTTAGCTTGAGTAAAGTGGACCATACATGTACGGGAAACGTGCGGAATCATAGCTCCCCGTAAAGCTACCGAGCTACCCTTTGAAATTCTACGAATCTACGAGAAATCACCTAGACCAGCTGGTCCAAACAATCCGAATACCGATTCACCCATCCAACCATCATGCCATCATCCCATTGCCATTCGGAAACGTGGACCAAATTGGCAATGGACCTTTGACCACACAATACCGCCCAACACGGCAAGATGATCGATGGATGATTCTTTGGCCTTCTCCGAGTCTCATGAGTTTCTTACCAGTTACCTCGTTGGTTATTTATGTGCTGTAAGTGGAGAATGCGATGAAGTCCTCCGAGTCGACCACTTTTCATTTGTGGATAGTTTTGACCCAATATTGTCGGAAAAAGAGGGGAAATGGTGGAAATACCAAGACTTCTTGCTATGGAACGCAGTCGTGATATCCCGAATTTATTGAGGGGTATTGAAGGCAGCGAAGGTATCAAATATTATATATATTGAAGAGCTGTTCCCGCCTTCTTGTTTGTTGTCTACTTCCTCTACATCTTCATCTTCTTTATATATCAGACATTCAGAACAAAGGTAAGCTTCTACCCCTCCCATCGCCAACAACATCAGAAGGGAAGTATGGATAGCTTCATATGGTCAAGAGATCAATCCCATTGGGATCTTCCAAACTCTATTCTGATCCCTTAAGCCTCAAATACCATCGATATCCTCAATTGGTCGATGTACATGTTACTAACCGTGGCTGCCAATATAGGTTAATACATCCCGAACCCCGCACTTTCCCAAACATACATACATCTAACACAACTTCCATACAACAGAAATATTCTCTTTGTTACTTATTCTACAATCAATCAATACCTTCTTCAACAACTACAAATAATAAAACAATAATTCAAAATGGTATTGTTCACTCGTTCCCTCTCTCGTTTGGCAACAAGACCGTCTCCTTGTGCTCGGTCAATCTTCACAGCTTCTGCTGTTGCGAGAACCACCCCAACATGGACGACGCGATCGACTGCTTTTGGCTCACAGAAGCTCAATCATACATTTGGAAATGTCAGAATGCTAACGGGTAATCATCGTGAAAAGGTCAAGGTACTTCTTGTATTGTACGACGGAAAGAAGCACGCCGAAGAGGTATGTTATATATATTTACTTTACCCCTCTACTCAATTGCGGGGTAGTCGTCCAACTACTTCAATTGAGTATCTATCTTTGATTCAATTGATTAACATGGATACTATTAGGTTCCAGAGCTTCTCGGCACAACTGAGAACGAGCTCGGTATCCGCAAATGGCTCGAGGACCAAGGACATGAGCTCATCACCACCTCCGACAAGGAGGGAGAGAACTCCGAATTCGACAAGCACTTGGTAGACGCAGAGATCATCATTACCACTCCGTATGCTACCCATCTTCCCATATACCAATTCGCAGATTCTAACAAGCTTCCTTTCTCAGTTTCCACCCAGGTTACCTCACTGCCGAGCGTCTTGCCAAGGCCAAGAACCTCAAGATCGCCATCACTGCCGGTATTGGATCTGATCACGTCGATCTCAATGCTGCCAACAAGACCAACGGTGGTATCACCGTTGCTGAAGTTACTGGATCCAACGTCGTCTCCGTCGCTGAGCACGTCGTTATGACCATCTTGGTTCTCGTCCGTAACTTTGTCCCAGCACACGAGCAAATCCAAGCTGGAGAATGGGATGTTGCCGCTGCCGCCAAGAACGAGTTCGATCTTGAGGGCAAGGTCGTCGGTACCGTTGCTGTTGGAAGAATTGGTGAGCGTGTCTTGAGAAGATTGAAGCCATTCGACTGCAAGGAATTGTTGTACTTCGATTACCAACCTCTTAAGCCAGAGGTTGAGAAGGAGATTGGTTGCAGACGTGTTACCGACTTGGAGGAGATGTTGGCTCAATGTGATGTTGTCACCATTAACTGCCCTCTCCACGAGAAGACCCGTGGTCTTTTCAACAAGGAGTTGATCTCCAAGATGAAGAAGGGTATTTTTCCTCTCCTTCGCTTACTCATATCATTAAACTAATATCAAAAATAGGATCCTGGTTGGTCAACACCGCCCGTGGTGCCATCGTTGTCAAGGAAGATGTTGCCGAGGCCCTCAAGTCTGGTCACCTCCGCGGTTACGGAGGAGATGTCTGGTTCCCTCAACCAGCACCAAAGGACCACCCACTCCGCTACGCAAAGAACCCATTCGGTGGTGGAAACGCCATGGTTCCTCACATGTCTGGTACCTCTTTGGATGCTCAAAAGAGATATGCCGATGGTACCAAGGCTATTCTCGAGAGCTACTTGTCTGGCAAGCATGATTACAGACCTGAGGATTTGATCGTTATTGGTGGTGACTACGCTACCAAGGCTTATGGTGAGAGAGCGAAGAACAGTGGTTCTTCTGGTGCCAACAAGGCATAAGTTGGAAAGATGATTGTATAATTGATATGGGATGGGAAAGGAAATGGGTTTTAAGGTATGCGGCTTTGATGGTTCAAGCTGCTACTATGTGATATGACATTAAATGAAATGAAATAAATTATCTGTTAAATTGTTTGGGTATATTCTAGAGTGATAACATTTGTTCGTGATAAAATTCGCTCTGCGAGATATGATTATGGTTGACTTTGGAGTTTAGGATTATTGAAGGCTTGATGTCTTCATTTGCATTACAGAGGTAATTCTAATGTTGTGATGAAGTGAACTTGTCTCTAATTAAATTACCTAGGTAGCTAGGTATTGGTATAGTTGACGAATTCGTCTTTCCGCTCTGCTCTGGAAAAAGGAGATATCGAAAGTCTCCTCCCTCATATATTAAATCGTACGAATCGGTGAATCTTTATGGACAGAGAATAATTCGGCGTCGGGGTTGTATATATAGGTATCGCTAATAGTGTCTTAATCTTATAAGAAAGAGAGTGATGGTGGTTGGGAGATTGAGAGATTGTGAGATTGGGAGATTGGGAGATTGGGAGATTGGGAGATTGGGAGATTGGGAGATTGGGAGATTGGGAGATTGGGAGATTGGGAGATTGGGAGATTGGGAGATTGGGAGATTGGGAGATTGGGAGATTGGGAGATTGGGAGATTGGGAGATTGGGAGATTGAGCTTGAGGGGATTTGATGGGGGGAGGAGGGGAGGGGAGGAGGGGAAGAAAGGAGAGAGATAAGGCTTTGAAGAAGAAAGGAAGGGAAATTGAGATTGAGATTGAACTAGAAATCGAGAGGGGGGTTTTTTTTTCATAATTAGAAGGGATCTTGTAAATTCCATTTACATACATCAAGCTCGAAGAAATGAGTGAAAAAAAGTACTCTTGGGCGTGGATAAAGTATGGAGAGATATATAGACGGGGAAAGATACCTAGGTAGGTATTAGAAGGTAGATTATATACTAGTATTTTATTTATATGTGGGTTTATGGTTGGAGGGGAGTTCGGTGGATGATTTTGGTGGAAATTTTGATTTTGATGAATGTGCAGGCAGATAGGTTGGAGTTTTGTTTTCTGGAAGAGGATTTGATGGGGAGGTTTTGTGAGGGATGGAGATGGAGATGGAGATGGAGATGGGGGTGTCGTGTGGATGGTGCGTGGTGTGGGTAGATGTTTGCTTCAGAGATGTATTGCGAAGTTCCTGATGGAAGAGTGGGAGACTGGGAGACTGGGAGACTAGATGCTTGAGAGATGGAATGCGTGATGGGATTAGCTGGTTGTGTTGAGGATGGGGTTGGGAGATTGTTTTATGTGAGGGTGTTTGAGAGTGTATGAGGGGTTTGGTGAGAGTATTTATCTTTGAGTGTCGAGATTGCGGAAGAGAGAGGGAGAGGGGAAGAGAGCTTGCGGAGTTTTTGGAGAAAGATGATAAAGGGAGTTTTTGAGTGACTCTGTGGCTTTGTGGTTTCGATGAAGAGGTCATAGGATGGGTTGAATATGAGAAGGGGGTTTTCTTGTTTTCTTCATCTTATTGTTATTATCACTAGTTCTCCTCTTTCAATCTTCTGAAATACTCATTCGTTTGGGAATAGGAGTCCATGGTGAAGACACATTCTATGAATTCTATATGACATTTCGCAAGAAATCAATCGTTCACTCCATATTTGACCACATAATGATAAACAAATTCGACCAGTTTCGTTATTTTATAGATTGATTAGACTTATCAAACGCCCTCGTCTGATACCTTGTGTTGAATGTCTGCAAAAGATGATGAAGAAGAAGGATAATAATAAATTGAAAGAAGATAGTTCTTCCCTAGATGGCTATAAACTCGAGATTGAGTAGGGATTTCATTTGCGTCGTATCCATATTTGGATGAAAACTCGGAAGCAAAACAGAAGATAAATGGATGGATGAATGACTTTGAGAGAATGTGTGAGGTCGATATGATACTTGTTGTCTTGTTCATTTGAGAGGTATTACCTTGGAGACTTCTATTTTTTTAATAAATTGCGATCTTTATAGTTTTGTTGAGAGGTAAACAGGTTATATTGATGTGACTGACCATTTATGTGATATCGATAAATGGCACCTGGGGATAGAATGGAATTGCAGCTGTACCATTATACACAAATGCATTTAGCGTATGAAAAGTATATGGGATTGACTAAACTCGGGTTCTGGACTTCTATCCCATATAGTAGAAACTAGGAGATTGTATGCTATAGTGCATAATGCAATGTTTCCTTCGACTCCCTTGATACAGATTAGGCATGATGTACACCGAATTAGGGAAACTCATTATACAAATGGACTAGAGAAGAGAGAAATCTATGTCTTCGTGAGTGAAGGACTTACACCGATAAAGTATTCTTCGAAAATACTTCAAAGTCTTGATTTGAAGATTGATCTCGCGCAATAAACTGCCGCTGTCTATATTCATCCTAGACACGATGTTCCATGCATTTGTATCCGCCTTGGATAATGGGCCTCGAATTTTGTAATTCGTTTGGGGATGTAATTCCCATGTAATTCAACCTACTGATGATTTTGACTTCCCCAAACCCGTGATTATAATTAGACACTTTAACATCTGACAATCTCGCTTGAGTTAAGAATATAAGAAGGGGGTCGAGGGGAATAATAAAACATTTAAGATCTTTGAGCTGCACGTTATCTTTATGGTATTGACATTATTAATTAATAATTCGAATAGTCATACAGCACGTTCATCTTCTTCGCCCATTCTCATCAAGTACATCAATCACAATGCAGCCATTACAACCCCACCAACAGCCATTCCCAAGAATCCCCTCATGACCCCGGTTGGTGCAGCGCCTCCAGTCGAACGAGATGTACTTCCAGTTGCAGTTTCAGTTCCACCTGCCGTCGTACCAGCACTTCCCGCAGTAGTCTTCGTAGCGGTAGCCGAAACACCAGAGGCCGATGACGATCCCGTAGCCGCCACACTCGCCGACGTACCACCCGTCTTCGTAGCTCCCGTTGCACTTCCCGTAATAGCGCCTGGTCCCTGATTTCCACTCGCAGTATAATAAAGACTAACCGCCGTCTCACTCGGATACAAATCCGTCAATCGAGTTGCCGTTCCCTCTGCTACATCTCCTCCTCCCAAACTATTGAAAATTGCCGCAAAACTCGCAGTAGGTGTACCGGTACAGAGTTGATTGGACGCACTGGTAATAATAGTATTAAATGCGCTGACGACTGCTGGGGATCGTCCACCATGTACATAATCGCAGTTGAGACATCCAAGCCAGTTGCTGAAGAATCCACCATTACACATACATTGTGCGTGAGCGAGATAATCAAGAGGCGTGGTGCCGTTGGGGGTGCAGGCAGATTGGATGGTTATTACTTCGATGCAGGGGGGGATGGTGCCTGAGGTTATGTTTGGAGAACAGACGGAGGTGAGATAATCTTCTTCGGAGGATTGGCGATGCAGAATAGGCACGAGGATTTCTTTTTCTGGAAGGGCGGATACGATGGTGGTGACACTCGTGAGGAGGAGGATTGGGCCGAGGTATGAGGGTGGATGCATGGTGGCGTTTGGAGAATACAAAAGAAAATACTAGATTTCGCGATCCGATACGAAAAGTACAACCAACACTGCAAAGAGAAAAGAAAAGAGATACTTTTGCAGAAGTCTTACGGAAACGAAATTTATGAACAATTCATCTTACTTCGTGAAGCATACCTGATTAGGCACCTACCTATTGTTACTCGACTCTGTGGAAATTGGTATGGGCGTAAATGGGAAAGTGCGATGAGATTTGTGACTGCGCTGCATATATCTGACAGTCTGACTGTGACTGCAAGTGATAACTTCCAAAAACATCGTAGTATCAATAGTTTCATTTTATTTTCTGCCAAGGAAATTGGCGATGAGAGTTAGAGGCTTGTCAAAAGCTTGACTTGACGTCTTTCAGCGGGAGGGACCGTAGCATGTCGCTGATCTAGATGTTGAGCAAAACGACAAACGAAGGAAACGCTTAACTCCTGAGTATCAAAATAGCGATTGATTGAACAGCTTTCGAAAGAGAACTGAATTCATTCATTCACAACAACAACAACCTGTTTAACCAAAATCTTCTTCTTTCCATAAATTATCTCTTCTTCCATGATCGAACGATTTTCTCGAATTCCCGCAAATTAGTTACTAAATATGTGTCTAGTGCTTACCCACATTACCCGATATAAAACCCATATTTATCCGAGCCAATTACGAAGCTAATTGTACTTCCCGTGTCGTATCACTGCAGCCACCCTTGAAAAAGCTTGATGAGCGAGGACGCAAGCAGCCAAGATACGGAAACGTGGAGAAATCAACTTGGCGGTGTCATTAAAGAAAGATCGAAATCCAATATGAAGCAATACGGATAAAGCAAACAACAAACGTTAAGTGTTGATTTGAGAAATTATTCTCATCAGTATGTATTGTATTGTATTGTCATAATCGTAAACCCATATTCCAAATCTCTGTATTTCAGAGTCGAATCCTTATCCATCGCTAACTATCATCATCATTTCGTTTCCACCACTCCGAGCTCCGTCTTCTAACAGCATGTTTCACCACAGCCACATCCACAGCATTCACAGCCAGCGGACTCACCACCACGAAGGTTGGTCTCGGTACCCATGGTAGGAACTGGTTTCTGTAGGGAAAAGATTAGTATGTTGTAGAGCATGGTAGTAAGTCTGTACTGTGAGTGGGATATCATACTGGTTGTTGCATCTCGATACCAATGTTCTCGGAGCTCATAGGAGCTTCGGATTGGATTTGTTGTTCAACGACTGGTTGTTCGAAAGGCATTTTGGGGAATGTCTAAATAACTGATAATCAACAAAGAGGTCTGATAGATTCGAGTCCCGATATACTGACAGTTTAGAGTGTTTTTGGTAGGATTGAAAGGTTGTTTGATGAAAAGTGTGTAAGTCTGAAGTCTGAAGTCTGAATGAAGAGGATATCGATGGGGGATTTTCGAGCCTTTTGAATTCCCTCAGATCCAGCAAGCATGTGCTATCATGGGTCGTGCAGATATCATTGGCCTCTATGACGTTGTAGGGTTTAGGTGCATAGTGGATACCTCTTCAAGATCTTTTGTTGGCAAACCAGGACAGGGTTGAAAAAACCGGGTGGTTTCGTGTAAGATACCATTGACCAACCATAACTTCATGAACAAACGGTGAATAGCAAATACCCAACACAGCCACGTATATCTGCAAGCAAATCAAATCTCACTCGCCTTACAATGTGGTATCGTACTATCATGTACCTCCTCCTTCTTTGGTACCTGCATGGTATGCTCCGCGCGCTTCTGGTGTACAGTTCATCACGCACATGTAAGTCTCACAACCTACGAGTCAGCAAACATCTCGTTCTGGTTGTTTCACCAAACTTCTATCCCCTGCAAACGAGGCTGGCGATACCGAGTAGCTTGCCCGGTTTTTTCATTTATCTGAGTGTCAGGTCCAGACTCTTTGTGCATTTCATAAGCTTCGCGCATTATCTACTACGCCACAACTTATTAGCAACCAGTTGCGGATCTCGATCTTCTCGCTCAATCGTTACTGCTTAACGTTGCGTTGATCCTGTTCGTATATTTTCTGCCGTCTTAATTGTGGAGTAGTGCTACACAGTGTAACGGTCCAATCCTCTATTAAATAGCGCAAATCCTAGTTGTGAGTGTCGAGCAGTCATTCTGAGACTTATTACTAGTTCAGCTCTCCTAGGGAGGGGTCTAAACCATTCGGGATCCTAAAATTGGAAAGATTTCGGAAGAAATTAAGTTTTGGACCCCCTCGCCCTTGCCGCCATACGATAGCTCGGACAAGGTTTGGAATGTCATCGAGAGGGGCGCTGAGACCTGATGATTCTTCTTTCGAACTCTACCACATGTATCAAAAAAAAACATCTTTGACAGTCGACAGAAGATAGCACGCATTTTTAAAAACAACGATGATTTTATTTTGCTACCGGTACAGTGTATCTAAGAGTTTGTCAAAGTATTGAATACTTGTGCCCAAACTCATTCCATCGGCTACTACTAGCAATCACCACTGCAATCACAACTGCAACCACAAATGTAACCACAACTGCAATCACCACTGCCATCATTGCAGCCACCGCAAGTTCTACCACAATCATTGCCGGTAGGACCACCACCGCAACCATGGAAAGGGCAGCATAGAGCGAGGTAACATGCGCCTGCAGAAGCCTCCAGGCATACAGCCGTGCTGTTTCCAGTATTGGATTGGGTACCCATTCGCTGTGTGGGAGCCTAGAGAACGACGTACGTTAGCATATCAACAATACGAGATAGATTTTGGACTCTGCTCACAGGTTGTCGAGTGACCGTGGTTTGAGAGGCCGTTGTCATGGCTTGTTTTGAAGAAGGTTGTTTGCTGTTAGAACTCATTGTGAGGTCCTGAGTTTTCAGAGATCTGTTTTGCCTTTCAGTCTAATTAGCATGGCAAAAGCATTGTTCGGAGGGATACTTGGTTTCACACACCTTGATCCAAGGAAGTTATTGATCGTAGCGATGAAGCTTTTAAGGTTCTCTGGATGTAATATTCAAAGGTAAAGTTATTCCCAGGATTATACTTTCGAGTTGCTCAAAGGAAGTATCATGGTAGAAATGGTCTTCACAAACAGGGGAGATAGTTGGGGGGGTATGTACCCGTTATTTTTCGAGTCATTATATGTTTTGTCGGTCATGAATCCCAATTTAAATCATTTCAGAAGAATGACAGTGAGAGTCTTGAGATTTTTGACACATTCAGGATCACAAAATTAGGAATAATCATTCGAAAATGACGATGCTTTGGACCTTGCAGTGACTCGAGTGTTTATGGTCGGTGACTGGAGAGCTCAACCTTCTGAGCATGTTATGATACAGGGTTCTCTCACGCCCGCTATCAAAGTTTAGCAGAGCTCTATTTGGCAGAAATAATTCGGCAATGGGTGATGGAAGCGATAAGCGGACTTGTTTCGAGCCTCCCTGGTAACCCCTTATCCTGTATCGTTACTGATAATTGGGGATTGTTAATAATTCCCATCACAAGCACGATCATAATTACCTTCACTGAAGTAGCCCAGTCATTACCTCTACAACTTTCCCGGCATTTAAAGGGATCTCAATAACTTCCGCCACCACGATAACGCTCTTCATGTTTCTGCATAGGGATTTGCACAAGTGTGTTCACATGATGAGGAGGGTAAGAAATCAATCACAAGTTTATCGACTGCAGTATTTACTGACGATGCATTTTGCATTTTATTGTTGGCGCGAGATTAGCCGATATAGCCCAAAATGAGATTTGGGGTTTCCGAGAATTTGCTGCTAGATTTACGATGCTCTGAGATAGTCAACACATTGGAGAGTCAACGCGAAGAAATAGAGCTTCTTCCAGCATATCTCAGACTAAGAAGGATATTTTTGGACTTCGAAATTGTGTTTCTTATCTCCGGGATGCGTTGACATGGTTTTGCACAAATACAGAAAAGAATATTACGATAAAATAGTCACAGGATATTCGAGTCATGGCATTATCTCCGCTAGTCACCGCCGCTTGCCTTTAGTCATTCGCCGATCATTTCGCGAAGACCGTATAGGCGATTCATTCGTTTTCTCATGTTTATCCGAAAACACAGAATTTGTTTCGCTAGGTAGGGACTCGGTATGAGAAATAAAACTAATATGAATCAATAAATCAGGCATCGAAAATCGTTTTGTCCATATCAACCTCACATTAACTGCTCCCACCTAATCAATCCTTCGCAGGATTAAATAAGATTGTCGTCAGATGTACCTCATTCTTCGGAGCCGATCAATCATACATCACTCAGCAAACGAACCAACACTATACTGATTCCAAAATATTGAGCCGAATAAAGAAGACGCAATGAATACCATAGCCGCAAAATCTCAAATGAGCTGGAAAAAGACATGGTAACTCAACAGGCAGCATTTTGCATCTATTTTGACGACGTGGATTAGGTTTAGGGATTAGGATTGAATGTAATCTCAAAATCCAAAAAGAGATGAGTTTTCAGTCGATCGATATTTCACTGCGTTGACCACACAATTGTGTTGCAATCGATTAAGAAAACGACGATGCTTGGATTTGGATTGCGCGACCCAGAACACTAATTTCTAGCAAACGAAACAAAAAACCCGACAAATGTCACTTTTCTACCACATTATTGCTCAGTCAACTCATATGTTCCATCGCCTCATTTTCTCCACATATCCTCTCCTCTATCTACTCAAACCCTCTGAGCAGCATTTCCTGAATACCCCGGTTCATTCACGCCCTGATGAGCAACAGGATTCGCAGGATTTGGACCTGCAGCACCCGTTTGCATAGGACCCGTTTGTCCTACATGGCCTGTTTGCCCCGGAGTTTGCATTTCCATCGCTGCGTGGTTTTTGTTGGGGGAGGCCGCACTGTGATGGCCTTCGTCGTGATGAGAGAGGATTTTACCCATGGTAACGGCGAAAGTTATGATGAAGAGAACGCTGGGGTAGTGTTAGCAAGGGTCTGTCACTTCCACCCTCTATCCTGATAAAGTTGCTCTTAGGGAAAAGGGCAAAGAAGAAAAATATAAAAAGAGTTGATCTCACAATTCAATAGCAGCCAACACCGTAGCCGCAATATACACCCCTCTAAAAGTAGAATAGCTAGTGCTAGCTCTCTTTTCCAATCCCGCGCTCAAATCATCTCGCTCTTCCAATTCCAACAGATCGCGTCTACAAAAGTAATATCCACATCCGTAGTAGTTGAATCGGCCACGATAGCGACGCACCTGCACGGCAGAAGTAATCCAAGCGGCGAGCCAGAAAATGACGAGGAAGATATCGAGACAGGCGATGGCCCAGTAGTTGTAGATGCTTGTGAAACGGTGGGTGGAGAGGAGGATGTAGAAGATGATTAGGATTGTTGCGCTGGCCTATATTGGGGAAGTTTTGTTAGTGGTGTCGCGCAGGATTAGAGGAGCGAATTGATAGACCAGAGGGAAAGAAAACATACGACGAAAAGATCCAGAATCGCTCCCGAATACCCAATAAATGTCACCACGAAACCCGCCAACCCTATTATTGCAAGCGCGAGAAGAAGTTGCAAAATTCTCAATGCGCTGAGAAATTTACTAGGTTTCAATACATGACCCGTATGTATATCCTGGTTTTCGGTACCAGGCCGATTAGTACCGTGATTGTTATCCATTATGGAAATGAATTTCGAGATGGAAAATGTGGAAGGTGGGTTGGGAATGATGATGTTGATTCCTTTCCTGATAAGACAAGTAGAGGGAGGAACTCGGGAATGGAAGCCCTTTTTGAGGAATAGAAGAATGTGGCTCGATGGGTGCAAGTGAGACATGAGGATAAAGAATGAAAGGGGTGGCTTAGTGTGGTTCGCTAGGAACAGGCGAGTGGCAATGTTTTCGGAATAAAGAATGAAGAAAATGTGCATCGGGACTTTTGGAAAATTGCTTGCAGCTGGTTTTGCTCAGTAATATTGCGGTCCGTTTGGATAATAGTCGCACCTGAATGCAAATATCATGGTTTCAATTCTAAAATTGGAATTTCAAACGAAAATGACGAATTTGAACTGATTTATCTCATTGCTCAAACTGATTGCAATTGGCCTGCTCTGACGAAAACCTTAGAGATCTAAAAATTGCTGCATCAGAATTCAATGGACATGCAGCGCAAATTCGAGGTCTCAAGCCCTTCTAGGCTCCGTCAATGGACAACTGTCATTTCAACTCCCACGCCAAGCTCTTTTCTCTACATACACAATTATACCCACAACAGATTGGAAAATAAGTGTTTGGGAGAAGTACCTTGTCAGTTATTCGAACTCAATACAACCACTGACTTAACACCCTACCTAGTCTTATTATCAACTCCCATTTTGTATCATAACGTCATCCACTACCTCCCAAAAGCTGTCAACATCCATCACAGCTCCAAACTGGTAACAGCGAGATAGACTACCCAGGCCTCTCTTCAAATTATTCATAGTTTTTGTTCCGACTATTTTCTCGATATCGTCATGATATTTCTCGGCTATCATAAACCATGCCTGAACAGGAGTAATTTCAAAGTCTGAAACAGGTAGTGACTGCGATATGGCATGTAGCCGAGCCAAAGAAACGGAAGAAGAAAACCACGAAACTTCGGAAGTTGATTCATTAAATGCTTCAAGCGGTGCTTGAGCGAAGATTTGTGTTGAGGCCATGAGCTCGTGACCGGATGGATCTCCGGCGGGATCGAAAGGGGGAGGAGTATCTGGTATATGGTGAAAATGGGTGCGACAAGGGTGTTCGAGACTGTAGATATGAAATCAATACATGACCATGTCATCGAACAGGGAGAATGACTTACGCAAGAATAAAATTTATCGCCATAACCGATATGTCAGGTGATGATTTCTGTACTGCATTTGAAGGTACCGACGCTTGACCGGGAAGTGGCGGTAGAGGTTTGGAAAGATCAATTGCCCCATATCCTTTAGTGGAACTGTCGGATGACTCGCTAAGATGAAGGCAGGATGCATTTAGAAACTCATCGAATTGAATATTGATATGAGAACCAGATGAAGTACTTGAATGTGGTAAATTATGATTGTCGGAGAAGTAATTATTGAGTGGATCACTGTCCTGAGTGAGCATATCATTGATATAGCTGGAAAGTCTATCATTTTCTGACTCGTAGTCGACAGTTCTAATGGTAGGTCTTATCTGTTGGGTTACATCGGAGGTAGCAAGACCGCGGAGTGGTTCATATTCTTGTGGAGGAAGCAAATTGATCGGTTGGTCGCCAGGTAGTTTTCTAATTCGTGATTTTAGACTGGACAGATCCTTGATACCTGAAGCTGATAACGTCGATTCTATTGCTCTATTTTCTTTCATCAAGGCCGAACTTTCGTCTTCTGTTGTAGCAATCATCCCCCGAAGACGTATCACATCTTCCTCAAGATGTTTGACATAGTTCTGTTTTCGCTGTCGATGTTCTCTAGGAAAGAATTCAGCAAGGGTAGTGAAAAATAATCACTCTGGGGGCAAATTAACATTTGAGCTCGTCTGACTTGAGCTCGTCTATGTTGTTTTTGAGCTGTGCCAGCTTTTATTTCGCTATTCTCGTCCTTGGCTGCCATATTCAATTAGTTTCGTGAAAAATGATAGCGATGAGGTAGTTATTTCGGAATAGCTCATGCTGAGTGAGTAGTTGTGTCAAGCGCGTAATCTCTCATGTGAAACGAGCAGCTTAAAGTCTTGAAGTAGACATATAAGAGGGGAAAGAAAGCTTATAAAATGAGAACAATGCTAGGTCAACTCACAAGTCTTAATTCTCGTGATATTTGGCATAAATTTGACCTTCTGGGACGAGATCTTATCAACAGATCGGTGCCAAAATGATGCGAAGGATGCATCTTGGGATTCATCTGCCATATTTGGAGCTCATATGTCTTATCCGCCACAATTGATTCCAAAAACTTCGCCTTTTCGTGATCTCCAAGATAAGACAAGTTCAAAGTCCGCGTTCAATTGGCATACAAGTCTGCTCGTATTGCAACGGGCTAGCGTCAGCAGAGACAATGTTTTTCCTAATTGATTTTGACCACCGACGGACATACGGAATAATGTACCTGGAAGTTTGAATTCTGAGATCCAAATTTCTGATACGAGAATGCACGTCAGCCGCATCCTGCGTTTGCGTGTTTGGAATACAAAGTACTCCATCGAGCCTAGTGCCTTGGCTCGGGTTTCTGTGTAGTCACGTGATGATTCCAGTATCTAGACCTAAGCTCTTTGTCATTGCTCCCAAACTCATATACACTTTTACTATTCGTGTAATGCCTGGGGAAACTGGAGGCTATCTTTAGGAACAACTTTTCGCATCAAGTGACCGTTTCACCGACGTTTCTTTCTTCATGTGTCGGTTCATGCTCCATGCAGTCAGCTCACACGTCCATTCTGGTTGGCTCTTTCTGGCTTGTATCGTGAGCGATTCCTTGGGTCACACTCGCTAATGCTCAAGGGCCAATCAGATCTATCTGATAAATTGGCTCCTCCAACATCTCATTCTTCCTGAAGCAATTGAGATCGATTACCTATCATTTAAGGCTTTCGAACTCAGTTCATCGCTCAGTAGCGTGATTGGAATGAAGGCACTGCACCTATTCGGATGGTTACATGCTGAGATTCCGTCAGTCATCAATATCATAGTATTTGGCACTGAAAACTAAAATTCGTTAGCCACTTCTCGAAGTTGAGCGCCTAGAAGCAGTAACGGATATGCACTCTTTTCCAGTTATAGAGACCACGCAAGAGAATAACACGCGAAGGAGGAATGTCAGTTGCGACGTTTCTACTTTCAATACTTATTAGCAGGTCGAATCAACCGATTGGTTATCCGAAAATAAACAAGGCTTGATCTTTCTTTGAAAAGCGCTAAGATCGTGTTTGAAATTCTGACACGTTTGTGGTGACCCAAATCAAGAAAGAAACTCTTCTCTACTCGGCGACGCTTTTTATGAGGCTCAAGATCATAGATAATCGCTGACGAGATGATTTTTTGTGTCACAGCCAGTTCAAACAACAACTTAAGTGTTTTAACGTCAACATCATTTGCTCAAAATCAAACCAATAATTTTTCATGTTCCTGAATAAACCGAACTATTCAAATGAAGTAGTTTTGGAAGCTCTTCGCTCTTCAGCATATTCCTTCAGCTATGAGTTTCTCATATAGTTTGCCCAAATTTGAACAGGCAAGAAAGTTTTATGGTGAAGGCCAATCAGCTTCAAGATGGCTCGAGAGAATTAAGCTTGACATCGCTTCTAGCAACTGTGGTACCATTCCAATTAAAGTTTATTTATGGGCAATATATGTTCTGTTGGGTGGAACTGCAGCAGCCTGGTGTGATTCGGTCCCCGCAATTAAGAGAATCTTGGATAATTACGATATCGCAGATGCTTCAGAGACAGAATGGTTGGAGCGTGAGCTTATCAAACGATTTCCTGGGGATGTCACCAGTACTCCGGTTGGCCGTATAGTTACTAGGCGCCGTTCGTATAGCCTTGATGTGAGAGCAGATTCAGATGCCACGGCATTAAAACTGGGAGAGCTATTCATTGGAGGAAGACCCCGAAGTCGGAATCAGGGGCCAGAGACATGTCAAGCTTCTGAAGGACATCGCGGATTTAGTTACCATGATAATCGGAACCCCAGACGCGAAACGCGGCAGGAAGCGGTTGAACAAAATGTCCTCAACGAGTACCAGTTTTACAACAGACCCAGAGTTGCATCGAGATCACCAGAATATCAAAACGAGCCTCACCGCAGCTCTTCAACTATCAATCGAACGCCACCAGCGCCCAAGAAGTACCACAATGATCGGATGAAGATGCCAACACCTTTAAAGGGCATCTTAAAAAACAAAACAGACCATAACCAACAACCAGTGACCCATTCCCACGACGACAGAGATCGCCCAAGAGATCGTTACACTAGAAACCCTTCTCCCCACCAAAGCAATAGAAATGCTAACCATTACCGGAATGCCGAGATTCCAGAATCCCGTCAACATCCACAAACAAACCCACCAGACTCTGCATATCGTTTTTCAGAATCGAGACCAGTGTATCAGCAATCAAAAACATCCTACCGAGAAACCACAATTGAATCGTCCAAGTCTCAGATACCACGCTGGTCATATATGCCACTCCCTGCCACTAGAATCGTCTCTTATCCGGTCCCGGAGCCGACTCACTTTGAAGATGGTCCACTGCAATATCCGAGACGGGCAGAGCCGAGCTCTGGTGCTTGGAAGACGTCACATTCAGCCTTTGACACACTCGAGCAACGTTTCCATGATTTAAGTCGAACTAGAAGATAAGAGTTCATATCATAGAAGAGTCCCACAGTAGCAATGTGTTTGTTCCATGCGATTGAAGTAGTAATCCTGTTGGAAACTACTCAGACCGGCAAGTGCATCAATTCATACGACAGTTCTTGCGTGCGTGATCCCATGTCCATTTCATTCTCCTGACAGAACTTCAAGCTTACTTAAAGAGTACTGATTGTAGTTTCATGCTGACCTCACTGTTGAGATAGAACCCGCCATACAAAATTTGTGGCTAAATCCTATACCATGAGGAGGTTGACAAGCACGAGCAACACGTGGATGAGAGCAATGCATGGAGAGATACCACAACCATGAGTCTTTGGGGTAAAGCATATCGTTTTCATGGTCCGTAAGAGATTTCAAGATCTTACATATCAATGATTTTGGTGCTAGGAAGACGATCAAGGCGGTGAAATCTTTTGAAGAGAAAGACTTCAAAGGAGAAACGGGAGTATTGAGTGAGAGTTTCATGTATGATGTACTTATGATGGAATAGAAGAAATAGCAAGAGCTATCCTCAATAAACAATGAACAAACCTTATCGAGCGGCGTGAAAATATAACCGAAGTTGAAACTGAAGCTTGCTTGGAGAGAATGTGAAGAATGAAGCCCACCTGCAATCAAAGGACACGAGCTCGCTTCCTCTTTATCTTCATATCCCTTTCACTTCCACTCTCACCGCTAAGCCTATCGCCTTTATATATCTAGAATATCTCTCCCTCCCATCAAAAAACATGTCCTCATGGTCCAGTCGTCTCATCGCCACTTCTCAACCATCGACTTCGAAATCTCAACTAACGGATTCACAGCAAAATCCACCTGACATGTCCCATTCGAATATGGGCCATATTTAACAACAATCTACACCTTGAGTAGGGGCTGTTGCCCCTACCACGATCTAACACCAGCACAAGCCGCTTCACACATTCGAATTACCATTCGAAACCCCACTCTCAGCAGCCGCATGGCAATAGCCATAGGCATCATCAAAGTACCTGAACCACGGTTGTACAATAGTACACCATTTTCAACTATCCAACACAATGACCACGATTTATCTGAATTCGCACCTGATTAGGCTCACTGGAATACGAAATGCGAGGGAGCACCTCGATTTGTAAGTAACTTCTCGTTCTATGATGAGATGACTGGACTTGGACATGTTACTTCTTTATCTTTTTTTTTCAGGCTGAATATCTGGAAACTGTCCAGTGTTGAATTATTATGATTGTGGTCATGTAGTGGAACGAGGAAGTGATGTGTGGTATTTATTCATCAACTCTAAAATAGCGCATCAACGTGTAAGTGGTATCTCGTATTCCGCTCAATTCAACAAAAGCTCGCTAATTGGCAGCTAAAATCTCGGCCGCTCCTTGCGAGGGTAAATCCTGAATGTGTTCATCATGTTTCGCATGTATTTCTGCTTCCTTTTTCCTTCTCTCCTCGTGCTCATGCGCTTTATAACTTGCATATCTCAAGCTTGTCAACACCATGAATGCCATGAACAATATCCCCATGACTGATCTTCGAGTGAGTACCCATCGGAGACCTTCTATCTCGGATTTGGCGTCACTATTGAGCATGACGGTTATTTTGTAGTTAAGTTCTTGGATCTATTTGGCTGTTAGAAACCGCAAGGAGGAGAAAATACAAGAATTACATACTCCAGTTTCCATTGTTCGCTGTTCTTGTCGCACAGTCATTTTGCGATCGTCAAACATTCCTTTTAGATCATCTTTGAGTGTGAGCAACTCCTGAGTGAGCTTTTGATTGAGAATATCGACTTCATGTTGTAGCAATGTCCGTTCTCTGCGCATCTTCTCTTCGCTCGCCTTGCGGTTGTTCTGTATTTCGGATTTCAACTCGGAACATGCTGCACGGAAGAGGTAGATTTCCTATGGGACTAACTGTCAGCAATTGTGCAAAAGTAAAGGCTAGCAGTGAATATATTACTAACATTTTCTACGTCGCTCTTGCTAACCAGACCATCTTTGGCAACATCCAAGTTAATGGCTAGTAATTCCCTCACTGCCTTCATAGAAGTAATACTCTGATCCTTTGTAAAGCCCCCTTCCTGAACCTGCTGTACCAAAGCATATGTGTCGAAATGATGAACATATGGTGGAGTTTGGAGATGCGGTGGTTTTGATGAGTTTTGGGCTTCTGCAGACTCAGGTGGTGGCATATGTAATACTGTTTCCAGCGGCGCCATTTTACCGGTATTTGCAGCAGCTTGTTGACGGGGCGTCAGGGGATCCGGACCTTGAGTGATTTTAGATCTCGATGTAGCTCCGGTATCACCAGCTATAATTGAGGCAGCCTGCGTCTCTTCCGACAGAGGCGCTGCAGAAGAAGGACCCTTTTCTGCTTTCCCTTCATAGTCTTTGGCTTTGTTTGCTTTCTCTGACTCTTTTCCCACTTTTGCATGATTGGGACCCTCTTCTTCCTCTTCCTCGACCTCGACTTCCTTCTCCGGCACAAATATCTTTACATTGCTTTCATTTTCTCCTTCCTTCAAAAAAGGCTCTACAGCTTTTCCATGTCTCTGCACAAAGACATCCCTCCTGTTGTGGGTTGTGCCAAATTGCCTTGGTCGTTGTGTTCGATTTGCTCGTCTGGATTGTATTCGCACTCTAGGCGCAATGGGTTCGCTAGCTCGAATTCCTCTAAACAATGTGGGATATAGAAAAGTCAAGCGCGTTGTAGACATAATTCATATTGGTAAACGTTGAAATTCAATGGAGCTTCTGCTCAACAGATTATCTTTGTATGCCGATGATCCTCCCGTCCACGTGGAATGTGGGATATTCAGCCTTGCTGCAAGGCTAGCGTTCATGTGCACGGGCCTTTGTTGCTATGAAGATTACAATCACTACCGGTTGT